ACAGCTAACACTCACGACATTCGCATTGCGCTAACAAAGCTCTCGGTCATTACATATTTAGTTTCAAGCTGTTTTTGAGGAGGAAGAAGCTTTCTTCATTCTGTTTTACTTTTGTATAGTACTGCATGACTTTCCTTGCTGAGCATTAAACACGATTCACAATGTATAACCAAAATCTTGCAAAAGTAAGGGTGCGTATGTGCGTTTGTGCATCCTCTGTAGTCTTAAACAAGGTCTTTCTGATACACGAAAGTCTTGGGAGTGACCCACCAGTTTGATTTCCCAGACTACACTACTGCAGAGCGTGTTTTTGCGTCATATTTTATTCTATTTATTTTATTTATTGAGTCTCAAAAGGTCTATCCAGTCTTTAGCCTGCTAAAACCTTTACAGAGCTCCGCCGCTGCTGTGTACTCCTCCAATCCAGAAGGGGTGCTGTGGTGCTCACATGTTATAGTTCAATAGGGCTAACAAGTGCATCAAGACGTTAATCCAGATCAGCTAGCATTTATAAAAGGCTAATATGCAAATATAAATAAGACACACATTTTCAAACTAAAAGCCCAAAATGTTTGAGACCATTAACACAAATTGCTTTGTGTTGATTGTAACCGGCTCTGTCTCGTCTTCTGTGCCTGCTCAAGGGCTTTTAACATTTGTGCCGCTACTGTACCACTGCCATTGGAAACATGTTCTGCCTTATTCACACGTCAGTCACACATGCCAACCAATCACAAGTGCCGTAATCTTTCATCAGGCCACTCCCACCGTAAACATGGTGGGTTGTCTTAACTCAGTGCAACACATGGACAGTTGTTGTTATTGTTGTCATGTGTGATAGTAGTCTACACTACCATTTTACCTTGTTTAAAAAAGCGATATGTTTGCACTGCTAGTCATTTTAAGATTAAACTAAGTGTTTATTGCATGACAGTTTAAGGAATCACTTCACAGTCTGAGAAGCTGGAACACAGTTACTCTTGCAAACTCAACACTGACATACACACATCCTACTGCCAAACTAATGCTACTGCTACTGCTTTTTGTGTGTGTGTGTGTGTGTGTGTGTGTGTGTGTGTGTGTGTGTGTGTGTGTGTGTGTGTGTGTGTGTGTGTGTGTGTGTGTGTGTGTGTGTGTGTGTGAGTGTGAGTGAAATGGAAGAAAATATGGAGTCTTTACTATTTTATGTAACCAGAGCATTGGTGAATGTCTATAAGCCTCTTTTTACCCTCAACTATGTTTTAAAAGATCATCATGATGAAATTTGCTAAATATACAAGTAGATAGCTTACTAAATAATGTTATTGTTGCATTATCGCAATTGTTTCAAAATGGAAAACAGACGTATACTTTGGTGCCTGATTGTAGCTCCATTTTACTTTTTTGTTTTTAATCTGTGGATAAATTCATATTTTAATTAAAAATTTAATCTGGATGAACTGTTTCCTGTGCCATTGCTGTTTTCACGTCATTTAGAAGCCTACAAAATTAATGTAGAGTATTGATCAGTGGTTCTCAACTTCCAAGAGGGCCGCAGGGTGACTGAAAAGTATTTCAATTAATATATTATTATTAATTTATTAAAATAATCACACTATAATCCAGATTGAAATGCCAAAAAAAAATCAAGATGTAAACTAAAATTATACTTTATACTCTTTTATTTTCATTCAATAAATATTCTTTTTATTAAAGAACATACAAAATATTATATTTGTCTGGAATCACCAAATGAAAAATGGTTAATTAATTTAGTATATTTAATATATCAAAAATAAAATATTAAATATAAATTAATTAAACTATGACATATAATAATTAATTTTAATTAGGGCTGTCAAATGATTAATCACGATTAATCACATCCAAAATAAAAGTTTTTTTTTACATAATATATGTGGGTGCACTGTGTATAATTATTTTGTATATATATAAATACACACACATGCATGTATATTTAAGAAAAAAAATATTTATATATAAAATATTTATATATAATATAAATTATATATAAATCTATATACAGTATATACATGAAAATATTTCTTAAATATATACAAGCATGTGTGTGTATTTATATATATAAAATAATTATACACAGTGCACCCACATATATTATGTAAAAAAAATATATGTGGGTGTTTTTATTTTGGATGTGATTAATCACGATTAATCATTTGACCGCTCTAATTTTAATATATGAAAGTAATTAACTAAGCTATTAGCCATGTTAGTTTATTCAATATATCAATATAAATGTCATACTACAGCAGAAATACTGGAAATATCTTAGCAGATGAGGGAGGCCTTCGAATATTGTGTCAGGCATCAGGGAGCCTTTTGAGTCAAAGAGGGACTTGTGGGAAACATGAGAAGTGATAAATAAAGGGGTAAGAGGAAAGGGTGTGATGGGGGTGGGAGAGGGTGAGAAAGAATATCTGGTGGTGGGGGGCCAAGAAGAACACAAAAAAGGAAGAAGCGGGGAAACAATGCAGGATTTGAGACAATGGGGTGCGAGGAAGAAATAAAAAGATGGTCATCACCTCTCATTTATGGGGGCAATCCTGGTTAACAGTTAACCCCTGAATTCACACGAGTGAATTGTAGATATGTACTGATCACGCAAAGCATCTGATCATCTCCTCTTGATAAAGAGCATCACACACTAGCCCATGCAAGTTAAAATGTTATTTACTGTGCATTAAAGGCTTGCAAAATATGATCGCATTGCCTGAACCCTATTGTAACACAAACGTCCTGACCTGAACCAACAACCGTTTCTGTTCACAGGTGGGTACATGAAAAAACACCATACCAAAAACCACTTTACACCATTCTTGGCCAGATGTGCGGATGACACTTAACCACACTCGCACATTTGTGCAGTGATGAGCATACGCACTGCACATTACATGCTTCTGCTCTTCCTGTAGCAGATGCGCTCACATTGTGTCTCATTATTCCACAGATCATGACATTTAAGAAGTACCCAAAGCGCTTAAAACACAGACTCATGCTGAGAAAACACGAGTCCACTGGTGTGGGTGTGCGAGAAACCTGATTCAGCTCACGACATTCTTAGAAGGAAATTGACAACAGGAAACTCATCATGCTCAGATCATATCAAGAGGAACAGAAAAAGTAACATGTCATTACAAGTATGGAAAGATTGTGGTTTCATCACCTGCTATATTCTGGTAGCAATACACATGATTTTTTTTAAGTTATTTTGATTGATTTCTGGTTGTATAAGTGTTGATATCCTCCTGAGACCCAGAAAAAAATAAGTTTTTTGAATTTAGTTTTTTTCCATGTCATCACACATATATACAATAAACAAATGGTAAAAAAAAACATATATATAAAATAATATTTTATTCATACGTATGCTATGTCCTCTGTAGTGGACGCCAGGGCTAAGTTGTTTAAAAAATAAAATGACATGAAATTATATGTATAGGCAAAAACAATGGGATTTTTTTTCAATCACCAATAAATTTTGGGGTTTCAGGATTTTTTTCAACCAAAATTTGTATAAAGATTATTCTCAACTATGTTATGAAAGAAATAATGGAATGAGTTGATACACCATTTTACTTTTTGCAATATGTGGGTAAAATGGCCATAAATTAACATTCCCAGCATTCAATGCAATGTATCTATACACTGTATCTAATTTGCACATAAATGTGTTCTTGGAGCAACATTTAATGAAAAAATAAGTGTAATAATTGGGGTAATAATTGGCAACATTTTAATAATAATATCTAATATTTCATAGGAATATTGATGTATAATTTATTTCCATATTCACTTGTTGTGTCTCCCAGAATGCCTGATAAACATGATTTTAGTCCTGATGTCCTCTACAGGGACACGTTTGAAATCAATGCCCTGTTCTGTAACAGAAAGTTTTTTTTTATTTGAAACCCCTTAACATTTTCCTGAGATGTTGTTTTATGAAATACAATTTGAAAAAGTAGTCCAATTTAAATTATAATTACAATATATTATCATATTTCCATAATTAATGCTACATGTGATCACTAAATTAATGTCAGACATTTTTAAAGACCAAGGAGAAGTTGTTTTCATGGTGAAACCTCCAAACATTTGGTATCTCTGAAAAGTCCTGAATGTGCTCTTTACAGGACACCCAGGTTGTGTCATGTGACATGTATGATGTCAGAGAAATTCACTAAAATATAATGTCCACTATACAGTGGACAAAAGTCTATTCTTGGGTCCCAGGAGGATATAGAATCTGGGGTCAGAAAGAAAATGTCAAGTAAGGTAATTTTTATTTTTTTATTTTCAGTTCAATTACAGACAAGTACAATGCAACAAAAAACAAGACAAATACAAGGCATTCTAAATACAGTTCTCAAGTAAGGTTATTAATTGATTTGAGTCAGTAGGTCTAAGTCAAGATGTAAGAGACATGACAAAGAGGAAATTAGTTTGTTATTGTGTTTAATTTACAGTTAGAGTCCAGGGAATTCCATGAGCTCTCTTTTACTTTCTGATTAAAGTTCCATTAAACTTCCTCTCAAATTCCCCTGTAACTCGAAAATAAAACAACACACCGTCGAAGAACGCCACGCCCCGTTCCATATACGGACAAAAAGAATTGTACGGTAATTTGCGTCATCCCAATGGGCGTCCAATGAGGATTGCCGTTTTGACTACCCCTGAAACGCGTGACGCGACCTCTGCGTCATTACTCATTGTTTAAATATGCATGCGCCCACGAAAAGCACGACGAAATTCCGTATTTCGGCCCAATATTATGTATCAGAGCAGAGGGGCTATTAGACAGACACCAGCCGATTAAATAACAGACTCTTAGGGAAATAATCTTTTAACATTTTCGACCATAGTTTAGACATCTTAATGAATGTTTGACAATACAGAGCAACAAGAAAAAGAGAAGAATATCGCTCGTTGGTCTGTTTTTTTAACAGCTGTAGAAGTATTTACTGCTCAGAAATAAAGAACCAAAGGAACCAGAAGACTTTAGCGCTCGGTGAATTCAGAAAACCCGGTGTGATCGGTTAACAAACCCGGCCTTTTAAACTCGCTGCCTTTGGAAATGGGGCTACTGTTCGCCAAACTGATGACTGTTTTCGGAGATAGAGGTAAGTTAAGCGAATTTTTTTAGGACTTTTTTTTTACGATTTTTTATTATTATAGCATTTTAAGTATTATTTTTTCAAGTTAAGTATTTTTATAATTAATTAATTGCCTTTATAGCTTATAGCTGTAGTTAATATAGCCTTCCTTTACTTGTTTTCAGTAACATGAATCAAAAGAACATTTGCCGGGCATCATTCTGCCCTGGCTTCTGAGAAACTTAGTTTGTAGCCTACTCTTAATAGTTAACGTGTTTTAAAATTCCGACTAAAGGCCCGTTTTAATCTTGGTTTTCACGTGTGTAGTTTTGTAAGATGGTCAGCACCTGTAACCCAGGGTTTATATTTACGATATTGTTATGGTGTCAAAAGATATAACGCCAAGTTGTTTAGCAACAGGCAACCAATTCAATCATGAAACGTCATCATCGGTGCGTGTTTACTAAACATTCATTAGTGTTTATAAAACATCATTGTTTATTTTCTGAAACTTTCACGCGCTGTTGTTAAATAAAATGTACAGTGTGAATTCTCGAAGTCAAATGACTAAACCATGATAAAATCTGAATAATGCTGAAATGAGAAACAAGATTTCCCAGGTTTCCAATGTGAAAAGGCCTTTTAAGTGACACTAAAACAGAAACACACGTTAATGCAAGTCTGTGTTAGGATGTTCTGTGCATGTCAGATAAGACTGTACATACCAGTGAGGTTCAAAGATCACGGGAGTTCTGCTTACCTGTTGTTATTCTACATCAATTTACTCAACCTTTCCAAACTTTGTTTAACCCAAGCAGACAGTTCACTGAGTTCTCAAAATTGCGTTACTTCGATATTAAGGTTGATGTTATCAGATGACATTATCATACAGAAAAGGTCAAACAAATTCTGATTAAAATGTCTGTGTTTTTGTGACATCCTCCCTTTTCTCTTCTTAGAACACAAAGTAATTATTGTCGGTTTGGACAATGCTGGGAAGACCACCATCCTCTACCAGTTGTAAGTGTTTTTCTTATTGAAAGTATAAGCAGGAGGAGAAGCACATGGCTTCGTACTACCACTGTACTATGACACATCGACATACTACATGTTTCCACTCAGTTTTTAAACCTCTATGCCCTGTTCTCTTTAGTTTAACTAAAGAAGCCGTGCAGACTTCTCCCACAATTGGCAGCAACGTAGAGGAGATCGCCGTAAAGAAAACACGCTTCCTCGTCTGGGACATTGGCGGCCAGGAGAATCTCAGAGCTACCTGGAACTCGTATTACTGTAACACAGAGGTGTGTATCTTTAACCTCCATGCTTTGCTAGTGTGACAGAAGTTATGTGAATCTCTACTGGTCATGTGTCTTTCCCTACTGCTGAGAGACAGATACAGTGTATTATTGACAATTACAATTATATAACAATTTTATACCCTTTACAAGATGTATAATCTTCCTCTCTAAATGTAACAGATTATCATCCTGGTTGTTGATAGCACTGATCGAGAACGCCTGACTGTTACTAAAGATGAGCTTCATCGAATGCTTGCACACGAGGTTAGTTTTCATTCAGCTGCTTCATGACACAGTTGTTATGAATATTTCATGGTTTTTCATGCACTTTGCACATGTATTATCAAGGTCTGGGTTTAAAATCTATTTAAATGTATCTTTTAGAATATTTTATTAATTTATTTATCCTTTTAAATATGCTCAAAACAGTATTGTTTTTTGGCTTTTATCAATCTTTTTTTTTATGTGCTTTTGTAATTTATATTCGTTTTTTAAATATTACTATTTAGGTTTTATTTATTTTTAAATGTATTTTTAGTTCAGTTTTTTTTTATGTCCTTTTAGTAACTTTAGGACTTGAACTTATTTTAGTTGCCAAGACACAATTATTTTAGTTTTAAGTTTTTCATCTAATATTTACATTTTATTCTGTTTCTGCATTATTTAAATGAACAAAAATCTATTATACCACTGGTTTAAAAAAAATATTTTTAAAATTTTAAAATGGCCTTTTTTCCAATCAGAGAAATCATAATTTTGACCAAACAGCTATTGTAGCCTATTTGATTAAAAATATTTAATGCAGTAAATAAAATACAGTCCAAAAATAACTATTAAAATCATGCAAATAAGGCATGTTTTTCACTTAATGGACAAAGAATGTAAACTTTTTAACGTGATTGAAATATCATCTAGGGATTTCCATGTGCATTTTGGATTTGCAAACAAATGATCAGGTTTTAAGGGTTTGGTTAGACCATCCCAAGTGAGATCAGCCCTAGTCTTAATTGTTTTGAACTTTATTCTTTCTTGTTAATGGTTTAATTTAATTCCTTCTCCACACAGGATCTGCAGAACGCATCTGTGCTGGTTTTGGCGAATAAGCAGGACATGAAGAACAGTATGTCTGCTGCAGAGATCTCTCAGAGTCTGACCCTCAGCTCGCTCACCGCTCGTTCCTGGCATGTCCAGGCCTGCTGCGCACTCACTGGAGAGGGGTATGTGTGTTTTGTAGGAGTGCATATGTTTACCACTGTGTTTTGCTTGTTTAACCCTGTAAAGCCTGACATATTATAATAGTAGTGAGAAAAAAATGTCTTTTTTTCCATTTTTAAATCAGCAATTTATTGAACCTTTAAAAAAAATCTGTAAGCTTGTATGTTTTTTTATTTTTTAAATCTAGTATCATATTTGATACATCTGGCTTTAATTGCTGTTATAGTATATGATATAGAGAGAATATGGCGCTTATACTCGAGGAGGAATAAACACCTGTTTTATTGAGAGGCAAAAATATGCAATTTGGTGCAGTTGCTGATATTTATATGGCAAAAAAGAGGAATTCTGATAGCTTGTAATGTAGATTTATGAGATCTTTATAACCGTATAGCAGATTTCTTACATAAACTGCATATAAATATCAGTTGTCACTCTTCCAATAATCAATCTTTCAATAATATAAGATTTAGATGCTTTTTGTATGCTTTGTTTATCAATCAAAGCTCTGTAGATTTAATTGTGCACAGTGCAATGATGTTTGGGAGATGTTCAAATAAATGTTCATCAAAACCCTGATGTATCATATATTTGATACTCACTGTTCAATTTTTTTCAATAAAAAGCTTTCAAAGCTCAAGTTTTTCTAAAGAATTATGTATGGATAATCAAGTAAACCTAAGTTGCTTCAGTCCAGTAAGTGTTCAACTTGACAGTATCAAATTTATTTTTATGCTGATTGATTTCTCAGCAAAAAGACATGAATGTGGACAGTTTAAGAATTATCCTTAAAGGCCTTTTACTTTTAAAAAAATGTAAATATACAGTTTATGAAGACGACAGAAGGCATGTAGCAGATTGTGTGCAACAGGTTTTTGTTGTGTTGTGATCATGTTTGTAAATTTGTGAATATTATACAGTAGGCAGTATAGGGTTAAGCTGTTTCCAAGCCTGTAGCCTGACTGAGAGCAATTGTTTTTATAATATATAACCACCTCTTTCTTTTCCCCCTACAGTTTACCAGCCAGTCTAGACTGGATGCGCTCCCGTGTTGTGGCGAATTAGTCCAGCAGCGGTGCTTCTTAAACCTCTGGAACTGTTGAAAGAGAGATTAGGCCTTCTTTGACTTTTATCCAGCTCTCAGTGCCTCTCGGAGTAATACTGAAATAATGCTGAAGTCAGGAGGAACACACCTCATCCACCTACTCTGGAAACCAGAATGAGCCTGGAAGACTCTCTGTGTGTGAGAGAATGTGTATGTGTGTATACACGTTTGTGTTTGGACATTATGTGACTCCGTTCTAGAGGTCCACATGTTTACATTACAGACTTCTGAAATGATCTGACATGATCATGATGATTTGGTGCCGCTGTATTCACCTCTGGCTGTGCCGACGGCTCCGCTTCCCATGTGGAGTAATTGTCTACAGGCAGCCATCTGAGAGGGGGAGGGTGGCCGTACTGATCCGTGATGAGCCGCTAAGCTATTGAACAACATTACTTGAAAAAGTATTTAAAAGGAATTGATTTGTGTATGTTGTGCAGATGTGTGCATGCAGAATGGAACATAGTGTTCAAGTATTTTATTCTGGAAGTAGACAGACTTGATATTCATAGTATGTTTTCTTATATAATTTTGTACAAAAAAGTTTTGTACAAATAAAAATCTACTAAAAACTTGCCTTTGTCTTTGAGAAATGTATTTAGCCTGGGTTAAAAATGTATTTGACTGTTGAGTATGTAAAACAAAGGTGCTGGCCGAACGACAATCGATCGTTATCAGATCAAACGGAAGCTGGTTTGTAGCTCAATTTGCATTGATCATTCAGATGATAATCTGCCCCCTCACTTTGTCGAACCGTATGCTAATGCTTTTGTTCTTAACTGTTACTTGAAACAGACCTAATTGGCATGCATGTGTGCATTTTACTTTTCTACTGGATTAAAGGGTTAGTTCACCCAAAAATGAAAATTGTGTCAGTAATTACTCACCCTCATGTTGTTCCAACCCCGTAAGACTTTCGTTCATCTTCGGAACACAAATTAAGATATTTTTGATGAAATCTGAGAGCTGGATCACTCCTCCTAGGCTTCTTAAGGATTGAAAATTGCCGGCCCAGAAAAGTTATTAAAGACATCGTTAAAATAGTCCGAGTGACTACAGTGGCTCAATCTTAAGTTTATCAAGCGTCGAGAATACTTTTTGTGTGCAAAAAAAACAAACAAAAATAACGACTTTATTCAACTATTCATTTCCTTCTCTGTTGGCCTCGAGATTTCACGTAGTGAAACTGCGCAGTGCTTCTGTGTTGCACATCACACGTAGGCTCACTATTGGCCGACGCTGGTCATGTGTGTGATGCGTGTGACGTTTAATCTTACATTTGATGACAACACAGCCTTGTTGAGTGAGTAAATTTGATGATATTCTATCCATGCTTTCTCCTCCTGTTGAGTCATCAAATGAGTCCAAAATAATGAAATAATTGCTTAGTAGTCAGTAAGGGTGTGTGTTTGGTAACCAGGCCCTTTATCAATGTTACTGGTAGGTGAGATTTATGACCATGAAGATTCATGTAAGGCCTCAGTTTCCTGGCCTGTTATTGCCAAGATTTGTAGTTAGTTATATGCTTTTTCATACTGATTTATTGTCATTTAACAATGTGGTCTGGGTTTAATAAATAATAAAAAGAAGGGGGCACCCGGATTTGAACCGGGGACCTCTTGATCTGCAGTCAAATGCTCTACCACTGAGCTATACCCCCACAGGCTAGTGAGAGTCACAGGTGTCTTTTTCACGGAATAGTCATCCAATGATCAGTCTACACCCTTGGCTATTTAAAAGGTCTGACAGTGTGAATATTTGTTTTGTGTATGTTTGCCATTCAACAAGATTAAAATGGGTTTTCATACATAAAACTCTTTTAATTCAGCACTGTGTCACTCTTCTAAGAGTTGTTCCACATGTGGCCTATTGCATTGGTCTAAATGGTCTAATCATGGCCTGCTGCAGTGAGAAAATCAATATTAAAAAGGGTTGAGTGAATAAAAAAAACAATTATCAATGATTTTATCAATTCAGCTTGAAGAACGCTTTACCTCTCAGACTCAGGGTATTTGTCTTGCCAACTGTTGTTCTGAATATCAAAGCTGTATGCTTTAGGGTCATCTTCTGTTAGTAGATGTCGTGTTTGCTGGTTGGACTGCACTTTATCGGGATGAGCTACCGTGAACATTACCACATGAGTAACACATCTTGTCGAACACTCTTAAACAACATCAATATATACTACCTAAAATGTGAGTGACACATCTTGCCAGGAAGGCAATGGCTGTATCTGAAATCGCATACTCTTTTGAGTTGGTATTTATTTTGAATAAGTAATTAATTCACCCCAACTAAAAAAGTATGATCTAAAAAGTATAAATGTAATCTAGACGTACCACATTCGCCATGTTGTCATTATGTTAGGGGTAAACAGTTAAAGACCTAGAACCAGATATGAAGAATGAAGACCCGGAGTCAGAATTATAATAAATTAAAGAAAAGGTTAGATAGTTTGCAGTTTCATCAGCAGAAATCAGCTTCAAGACTCACACAGGAGTTCGTAGGCCGCCCCCCTTACAGTTACAAAGATCACAGCAGTTATACCATTTCCAAGGTCTATAAGCTACGTCATTGCTTACAGGTTGAATGATTCTCATTGGCCAAGAAATAGATAAACATAATTTTCCACACATATACAGATAGACGGAAGCATATCTCCATCGATTATGGTAGCTGACACTCGGACCCAGAAGTTAGGCAAGTCGTGACCTTCCAGGTCGCAGATTTGGGTTGCTGGGCGCCAGCATGTCCAGAACAACAACTCAGTCAATCTCCAATAATGCCAGTGGTTCCTTAACCTGTAACCAAATAGACTAACACACACACCGACACAGCTTTTCCAAGGTTGGATTTGGCCAGGCTCTAACTATTAACAGGAGAGTCCTCTCAAAACATCAAGATAATGCGTTCTTTCTCTCAAGGAGAGCTACACTTTAGTCTAACTATAAAGTAAGGCTTTAACAAAGAAATGGTGCCTTAAACTATTGGCTTCAATGACCCCTATATGTTTTAACACGTTGAAGACCTTTCTCAAACCCAAAACAAGTCCCTATTTCATTTCTGGAAGCCGGGCTAAATGAGCAAGCCCTGTTACTGCATTCAGATATCAAATACAGACATTAGAGAATACATGAAAAGAACATTTCAGTAATCACACTGGTAACTCTCTGGTAAAATATCACTCGCCTAGAGAAGTCATTCAACTCATTTGATACTTAGAAGGAAAAATATTGATTAATACCTTGATTATAATCACTCATTACATATACATTGAAGCAGCAGTGGATTCCAATTCACCCCCTTCAATTATTATAATGTGACCTGTTGCGTCGCTGCCATTCACACATCCTCTCCAGTGGCCTCATGGGATAGTAAAGTGTCCATCGTTTGCACACTTCAGAATCTCGCCAGAAGTAGGTCATCCGGGTACTTTTTGCCTTCTCTTTTATGAGTAATGTGAATGGACATTCTTCTTTTGTCACATACTGTTTTTCGCCTACTGGAAGTTTGCGGATTCGGATGCAGTCAATATCTATTTGGATTGTGGGCCTGTCAATCACTAATTTCCAATTTGGTTACACATCGAGATAAAGACCATAAAAGAGGGATTTTGAAAGAATGGTGCTGGAATGAGCAAGTTAATCAATACTTTACATTTATATATATTCATTTAGCAGACGCTTTTATCCAAAGCGACTTACAAATGAGGAATACAACAAGCGATTCATCATAAAGAGGCAATGAACACGAGAAGTGCATGTAATTAAAAGTTTAGACATCATTTAGATTAGTACAAGCTAGAACAGCGAGAATAAGGAATAGTAAACGGGAAAATTATTTTTCCCAGCACGATGCAGTTATGTGCTGACAAAAGAAATTCGTTTTCAGCTGTTTCTTGAATATTGTCAGCATTGGATTGGGTTGGGAAGATCATTCCACCAGCAAGGAACAGTGAACGAAAATGTTCTGGAAAGTGATTTTGTGCCTCTCGGTGAAGGCACCACGAGGTGTTGCTCACTTGCCAACCTTCTGGAAGGGATGTAGACTCACGGGAGCAGGTGAAGGTAAGAGCACCAGAGCCAGTGTCTGTTCCCCCCACCCTGAAAGACCTATAGCTACCTGTGAGATTCAAACCAGCAAAGTGGAGTTCCTGTGAAGCCCAATGCTGACAGAGTGAGGGATCTGATGATATATGGTGTCAAAGCCATGGTGTTAAAAATTGCAAATTGAATGACCGTAAGAATTAAGGGGGTAGGAGTATATAAGTTTGACTTCTTCCTACTCCTTTTCGCACATGTAGATATGTTAACAGGAAAGAAGTGTACTTTGTTTGCTGCTCATTTGTTGTTGTTTTTCTCCTATGTTTTTAAACATTGTTTTATATGTTTATATACTTTCTTTTCCATGTTCGAAATAAAGATTTCAAAAGCAAAAATTCAAATTCAAAAGCCAGCAGATAGATCATCCAGCAGAATGAGAACTGATGATTTGCAATCAGCTTTCACAGTCTGCAATCCAATCCAAAAGCATGTGGAAACCAACTTCTGTCGAAACACTGCTGTAATGACATTCCACAAGAACGATAGGTAGCCTACTGTTAAGGCTGGGAAACACTACAAAATTTATTTTGCCCCAATTTTCAGTTTCATCCTAAAGTCTGACCCAGTCTGACTCATTTTGGGAAGTTGAAGTTGAATCCATCCAGTTGGAGGTTGTTAAACATGTTTGATACTTTGAGGGAATTTTAAAACACATATTGTTGTCTATAGACATGCGTCTCCTATATCGAGGCATTCTCCTTTTGTTTAGTTTGTTGTGTTCGGAACAACATGAATGTGTATTCTCAGTCGTTTAGTGCAGTGGTTTTCTTTAAATGAATAAGACAAAACAAGCATAAAAATAAGCTAAAACAACTAAAAAATAATAATTTGGTTATTTTATAACAAATAGGCCTTTCTAGTTATTCTAGTTTGAAATAAAAAAGGTTGAGATCCACTGATGGTGCATGATTTATGTAGCCTTTTTCTTTGTAACCGTTTAAAAAGTCGGCAAGTGTATGATTCCTACTGTTTAAAAAAAAAATTGTCCGATATTAAAAGTCGGTAGTGAATTCCAGCATTAAGTTTACACGTTTACTGCCTTGTTCTAAAAAGGAAAATCCTTGTGACTGCAATATTGTGATAACTCTGTTATGGCCACATCAATAGCTCATGCTACAAATATTTGATTTCAATGATGATTACTGACCTTGTTACACAGTCAGTACACTTTATATATAATGTTCACACCTTTCCACTAGAATAGATGCTTGATAAAATTGTTCGTAGATTTGTTTCACTCTTTGTTTGGGGCGACACCTGGTGACTACGTATATAACTACATGCATTCCACTCAAATACAGAAAGACATTTTGATTTCATGAGACTTTCATCAGATCAATTTGTCCATCATTACTGATACCTGACACGTAGTTCAGTGGGTTTGAGTGTGCCTTATTTCTTTTCGCAAAGCAGATGCTTCCTGGTTCGTTCCTGTGCAACCCTTCACATATTACTTCACATATTGTACTTGTTGGCCTAAACAAGCAATAGTTGGTTTGAGGTTTACGGCTTTTTTACAACAACTCTAAAAAAAAAGAGAGAGAGAAAGTTTTATGTAGTCATGAATCTATGTGTTTGGTAACACCCTTTGTTTGCGTTATTGGTATATGATATTCATGGCAGGTTTCAGATAACTGGCCTATGTCATCACCATGTGTTACTTGACAACCGATTACTAAAGATTTTCCCTTATTTTGAAGTGGTCTGACGAAAAGAAAGAAAAAACAGGGGGCACCCGGATTTGAACCGGGGACCTCTTGATCTGCAGTCAAATGCTCTACCACTGAGCTATACCCCCTTAGATTAGATGTCCCACAGGTGATAGTTTCAAAGGTTACTGAAAGCTCAGCCCATTGTGTAAATATTTTAATTGGTGTGTTTGTATGCAGGTGTGACTGTTTGTGTTGTGCATATTCTGAGCTTATAACTGTGTGATCTCATTTGGTTGCAATACCCATAAATAATGTAATAATCTGAGAATTGCTTTGTTTGTTTGTTTAAATGTTATATAGGATATAATGTAATCTGAAATCTAATATACAATGAAATAATTTGTTGTGCCATATGTAATTTTAGTCCATTTATTAATGTTTTTTTTGTCTACATTTTACATCTGGCAGAAGCCAACATTATATGATTAGGCCAACAAGTAAGAGAGGCTGCCTCTTCTCCAGTATATATCAGCATTGGCCACTAAATCTTGGCAAAAATAAACAAATAATACATTAACATTTTACATTTAATAAAAAAATCACAAAAACTACCAAAAAAGATAACATTTCCACCAATACTACCCAAGAAAAAAAAAGTTAATTTAACAAAAGGAGGCATTTTGTCTCAAGGGGAACCATTAGGCTTTATAAGCAAATAAAAAAATATATAAAAATAAATAAATAAAATAAAACAGTAAACACAGAACAATTCAAGAAGTAAAAATGTAAATAAAATGTTGAAACATAAATTACTTTCAAATAATTATCCCCAAACAAAAAGATGCATTTTGGTAATCATAAGCTTATGCTATATTAAAAATATATATTCGCCAAACACATTTAATGTCAATCTGTCAAGACGAAGTGGGAAATCTGTGTTTGTTGAACAATGTTGTATGTTTGTATGTTTGTTGTATGTCCCCCAAAAAACTGGATATGCAAGATCTGATTTTTCTGTAAAAATTTGGAACAATTAAAAAACATGTAACAACTTGTGATATTTTTTAAAAATGCTTATGTCTTGAAACAATTATCTACCTTCATTATACAGTTGACAATTGTCTGAATGTATATAGTGTGGTTTTATTGTGTTCACATGTTTAGCCAACAGCTATAACAAAAAATATGGTGCAATTGAAATTTTAGTTTAGAGACTACACGCATTTGTCTAATTGACTCAAAACCTTAAAAACATAATATGGAAATCAATGGCTACCGCCAACTGTGGTTATCAACATTCTTTACTAATATCTTCTTTTGTGTTCAACAGAAGAAAGAAATTCAGGTGAGTAAATGACAAAATATTCTGCTTCTTTTTTTTGGGTGAACTACACCTTTAAAACGGTATTTTAGGCCTACTTTACTGAAATGTATGTAGTTGCATATTTAGCCACCAGGTGTCGCTCAAACAAAGGGCGACACAAAGTGTAAAGCTCGAAACCATAGACTGTAAAAGCTCGAAACTGAAACAAGCGTTCACTGTTTTGGATATAATGTGAATAGCTTGTGTGACAACTGTCTGATATACATTAACACTTTAGCTGTTTCAGTTTTACTTCAAGTTTGAATATGCTGAATGCGCATTATTTAAAAACACTTTGTTATTAGTGTTTATTCAAATAAAACTGAATATAAACACAAGATACGACAAGCTTTAAGTCCTTTAACTCAAGAGCAGGTTTTTTTTTTCATTTCAAGTGATAAAGAATAAATATTTGAGAGTGAAAGTCTTCCGCTGAATGCCCTTGCTTATCTCTGAACGGGAGCGCGCAGCAGGACAGAGCGGCAGTGCCGTGAGCGCGCCTTCCGTGTCTGACAGCCAGCGGTGCGACTGCGAACTGGACTCATCAACGGCTAGCGATCCACACCTCGCGCGTTATCTAACAAATTCTGCTCCGCGGATCGTTTCTTCATCTCATTCCTTCGCTACTATTCCTCCAAAATGAACCCACTGTGTGGCAGATGTAACCGAGTGGTGTATCCCACGGAAAAAGTGAATTGTCTTGACAAGGTAAGGCATACTTAGCATATGCTAGCATAGTTTACACATCTGGCCGTGAGAATGGGGTATATTTGGATGTAGATATCTATAATACAGATTTAATAATGTGGCTTAAAGGAGACCATTTCCGATGTTGTGGCTATCGAGATTGTGAGCAGAGCGGAAACGTCTAGCTGCTAACGTTAAGCGAAGGGGCTAGGACGGGAGTAATGAAAATCCTTGATTGTGATAACTTCATAGCATGCTACAAGTTGTCGATGATATATATTTTTCTCAGTGTGAATATCGTCTGATATCGACAGAAATTTTCCGCGGAAGTCGTTATTTTTCAAACAAACGCCATCCGCCTGTTCGTGGCCTCTGTCGCGAGGAGGAGGAGGTTTGTTTATGACGTGTCAGTCTGTCCTGTGGGCGACATGGACGGACCCGAAAAACCCAAAACAGCCCAAGTCATGTCAAACTCTAATGTCTCTTAACGACAACCAAACAACTGGTTTATACACGCGGTCTTGGTTGTATATTATCTCGCGGTTTTTGTCATCCAGCCAGCTTCGCAGATACAACTTCGCCTGTGTACGTATGAGGCCTGTGAGTTATTAAAAACGTGCTATATTTGGGCCAATTTTACACGCATTCCTGAAATATCAGTCCAACGTTAACCACGATATCAGTCGGGCTTTGCATTTACATGAAGTGCACATCTGTACTACATGTTTACCAACCGGCCAGAGGAAGTGTTGCTGCTCGACGCGCTTGTGAAACGTTTTCTCTACTGACCCCACCCCCCTCTAAACCCATATCCTTATCGCTCTGGTTTTGTGAGAGGTGAAATCTTGAGTTTTTGAATGGCTTTAGATACTCCAAGAGGGTGGGGTCGCCCTCCTTTATTTTCATGCAGCGCAAGTATTTGCGAGGGAGAGAAACTGGGGCGGAGTGATAATAAGTAACGCGTGTAATGGACGTTAAAAGCACATTAATCAGATTGCAGACAGTCTCCGTGGCTTTGAACGAGACAGCTTGAGGAATGACTACACAGACGTAAAGTGCGTGAATGAGGCATGCAGTTTACGTAAGAATAAATGTTATTGCGTTTAATGGCACACCTACCACAAATGTTGTCGAAAAATAGCACTGACCCCACACACGTACACAAGTTGGTTCCTATTCATTGCCTAAAGGAAAGGCCTCATACAAGTTGCTTCACATTGTCATTTTTTTGAGGCATGCTGATGGGTCCCTCAGTTTGAAGAGAGGCCAACCATTGCTTGTCATTCTGCTTCAGTGCTTAAGGTCATCATCTGTCTCTCTGAAGAACATCTCAGAAGAACCGCACCCTAGAGAGGTGGTCACAAAAATGAATATTTACTCGCCCACATGTATGTTTACTCTTTGTTCAGGACACTTTTTTTTGTGGCGCACAGAAAGAGAAGTTAAGCAGATTGTTCAGACAGACTTTTTCTTTACAATAGCAGAAGATGATGACCATCAAGCTTCAAAAAGAACAATAAAACACCATAAAATAGTCTCATTAAGATTTTTTATTTTTCGGTTATGAATGGAACCTCTGCTCAAGTGTTTGCTAGCAACTTCCTCTCCTTGGTACTGCAGTAGATGCATGACTTTGTTGCTCACACACTCATGTACATGTGATCAAATTACGACATTCCAGCTGACTGCTAAGAAAGTGTTTGATATAGAAAGACAAACATACCAACGTCTAAATTGTACGCATTGCAGTTAGCATGCATGACTGGCTGTATAGATGGAATGTAGGGTAGTGGGTCAGGTCAGTCGCTCCAGTCCATTTTGCTGTGTGTGTGTGTGGTCTCTCATTACTGAAACACTCCCGTTGTTAACATTAACTAAGGAAGCTTCTATTCAAAGACTAGTATAACTTGCAGCTACATAGTTTGGTTTATTGCCATTTAGAGACCCAACATCTCAGTAGCGTCAGTGTGTTTCCCAGCATTTGTTGTGGCTCTTTCTTTCTGTTTTTCCTAATGTTGCAATAATCTGGGATAATTGTGATGTAACTTGCTTAGTAACCACTTGACAACCAGTGTGCTATTGGGGTTTCATATAAACTATCTTCACTCAAGACATGCCAGAGAGTCTTTAAAATGAATGCATTCACACTGAAAAAAAACCTTGTCTTTACTTCGAATGGATGTAACCTCAAGTTGGGCTTCTTTTGCAACACATGTGGTGCCTGAGCCTGTATTTCTTTCCAAGTGCTTTCCAAGAACAAGCACTCCATTGTTTTTTTTTTCCATTTAATCCTCAGAGCGACTTTGTAACGGCCATAGCGACTGAATTAGCAACACTAAGGGATCTGAAGGACTTCATCTCATTTGCTCTTTTTATTTGTCTTTATCTCTCTCAACTCCGTTGCAGACAATTTCCCTGTTTTTTTGCATACACCTCCTAATACAAACACAATTTAAAGCTTTAATCTATCATCTCTCTGTCTCTTTCTCTTTCAGTACTGGCATAAAGGATGCTTTAGCTGTGAGGTCTGTAAGATGACTCTAAACATGAAGAACTACAAAGGCTTTGAGAAGAGACCATACTGTAATGCGTAAGTATTGGTTTTTGGTTTTTGTCCAACTCCATTGACTTGACTTGGGACAAAAACTACGATAAAACCTGTTGGAAAGCATCTTTTGCAGCGATTTTTGTGTGAGTGAACACCCCAGACCACTCGGTGAGTTTCACGTCTTTGTAAACTAAAGTTTAAAGCGTTTTATGAAGGATTGTTCCAGTGCACCTATGCAACCATTGTGGAGGTGGGGGGTGTGCAACCACAGAAACCGAAAATTCTCGGGCCAGCAGCATGTGTCCAAATTTCAATCTTAACCGTCCTATTTCATCAGAAACGATCTTAAAACAGGGCTTTTAGTGTAAAATACCGAACTTGTCCTTTAAAGTTGGCATTAAATAAAATTAACATATTTAACTTTGTAATCATTGGATAAAATCATGTCTCATCGTGTATTTTTTTTTCTTGTTTAGTAAGCCATTGCACTTGAAAATACGTCATAATACAGAAGCAAATTCAGTCACAACTTTAAAATCTTTAAAATCACAGTGAATTTCCATTCACAATCCCATTTTAGAGAATTAACAAATATAATGTACATTGTAATTGAAGATAGAAAGTCAGACACTTTTTGTCTTTTGATTGTGGAAAGGTCACGTCTGCTCACACAGTAGCTGAATTGTTCAGTCATTTGTGTAAATGACATTGAGGGAAATTCCTATAATTTCACAACAATGACCCATACATCTACATGCACAAATGAATTCACTTCTCTGGAATCCACTTCTGATCACTAATAGACTAGTCTTGTGAGTCAGATACCTCAGTTATAGCATCCCTGCCCATTCATACTTCATTTTAATGCAGACCACCAGGCTTAGCATGGCCAGAATAAATGTATGAAGTCATAATGACCATCTGGCATAGAAAATATGCAAATGCATCCCTTTTGTGAGTGTGTCTCACACTTACCGGTATGTTCATAATACACCAGGGGACTTTAGTCTTTATTTAGCAAATGATTTATGTTTGTCCCTCTGTCTAGATCTGCTTCTTCCACTGTTTACTCAGTCCTTATTTCGAAGATAATTGAGTAAGTGAGCATGGCAGAGTAATTTCCTCTTGCTTCCAACAGATAAAGGCCTGTTTACTTCTTAGAGTGATGGTCTAATGACAGGTCCACCAGAAGTAAAAAGCATCTGCTTGGATCACAACGGGATTGTCCGTTAACTGATATAAACAACATATAGCCTAAATCAGCCTGGGTGCCTGAGGGCCATTTATCTGCGCATGTTTGTTTACTTCTCTGTCTGTGATTTGAGTGAGAACTAACCTTTAGCAAAAAAATAAATAAATTGTATTTTGGACTGCATGCCAATATACTAATTGATATTATTGCCGAAAATGGTAGTTATCTGATATATCTCAGGGGACAACACCAATATTATATATTTTTACTTTATTCCATTGCGCCCACCACAAAAGTGTGCATGTATTTTTATGTCAGGCTCAACTTGTTAAACTTGACACAGTGTAGAAAAAAAGGCGGCAGTAAAATAACGGTCAAAGTTTGGCAACAGTCCAATTTATTAAACTTTTAGTACCGGTAATTAGGTTGTTATACAGTAATCGCTAGAAATGACAGAGCTGTAATGTAACTCGGCACAACATCATGTTAGCTAGATAGCTTTATGATGATAATTTAAATCATCAGAAATTACAACAGCAGTGTTTATTACATCACACCAAACTAAATGTTTATGTTTGTTTTTGCCATCAGTCCATCATTGCGGTTATTGTTAAAGGTGCAGTGTGTATTTTTTAGCGACATCTAGCGGTTCGGTTGCGAGTTGCACTAAGGGCTCAGCCCACTGCTCACCCCTCCCCCCTTTCGAAGAAGCTACGGTGGCTAAAACGGGACAAACATGTCGTCATCTGAGACAGCAGAGAATAGCCAGAGTAAGCCAAGAGTGTGTAACATTGTCACTGTTTCTGTACCACAGTCAATTATAAACCACATCATGGATAAAGTTTACAAAGCCATAGTCAGGTGAGGATGAAGGGTCTTAATACATAATATAATAATAGTAATCAGCTGATTGTCTCACGAACGTAACCAGCACATTTCTCCCCACATAGCAAACCCATAATACAGCGAGGGAGAAGAACTAAGTTACATGAAACAATCCAACTACATATTATTACACCACTGACAAGGGAAAAGTCACAACTCACTGTGTCTATGGCTAGCTTCTAGCTTTCTGCTGCTTCTCTTTCAATGTAGTGACGAAACGCGCTCTGTAACGCTGTTTGTTCGCTGTCGGCTACGGTAGAAACATGACGTCACAATATGTCGACCTTCATAGAAGGGGGTGCCCGCGGTTATGGAGATATAAATGTCTCATTCTAAGTTAATAAAAACATTACGGTTTATTAAGTAAGTTCTTTATACACCGCTGAACACATAGTTATGGATGTCATATTGCATTTCTGTTAATAGATACTCAAAATTTTTACACATTGCACCTTTAAAGTCCCCCTGTAATTTTATCCATTAAAATGCATGCCTTAAAATAGCTTGAATGTAACTGTAACGTGATTGGTTACAAGGTAGTTTGTGATGTCAGAAACATCAGCAATTTCAAACCGCATTTTTGAGACTGTCTTTGGTTCACTGCAGTTTGAAAGAGAAAATATTGGTGTTGACTTATGAATTTGCACATGGTTTGTCTTAAAGCACATTAAAACACCACATAGACTTAAACAACTTTAAAAGCTTGATTTTCACCACAGGGGGACTAAAACTTCATTTAAATAAAGTTGAAATAAAATACAATATAAATATTAGATACAAAATTAGAAACTAGAAATAAAATAAGTTGAAGTACTAAAATGACCAAAACTAAAACTGAAATAAAAATAAATTAAAGCTAAATAGAAATATATTTTAAAAAGTCTAATAAAAATGACAAAAGCACATAACCAAATTACTAAACTTAAAATGAAACTAAAAATGCAAACTACTAGCTACAAAATATATAGTAATATTATGCTAAAATAAGATTGTAGCCCATCATTGGTGTTGAGCCCTGTACCTCTATTGGTTTTTAATTGAATGATGTATCAGAAAATAAATAAATGGTACTTGTTTGAAAGCATGTTTGAAACTAGTTTGTAGGTCACTACATGACTTTTTTTTAAGTCTTTGGCGTAGCTCTTTGAGCAAGGAAAGATCAGTCTATACTGATTTACAGAGCATGTTCTGTATTATGTGTTGGTTGCCGGCAGCAACACAGCGTCTGTGTACTATATAGAGGTTAACTAAGCAGACAGGGTGTCCTGTTGTAGCCAGGAGCAGACAACGCTTTGATTGGCTCAGTTGTTGTGTTGTGAAGTATGATTCATTTGACTGAATCAGTCCTGTTAAATCCTGTCGTGTCACATTATATATTGTCATATGGTTATATGATTAGTGTAATAGTTCTGTTTACTACTCTATTACCAAATATATCAGTTAGTGCTGTAATTGTAATTTGTGTACTCTGTTGTAAAGTTCTGCTATTTCTGGTACTCTAATTATGTGTTGCGTTGGATGATTGTGGTTGGGGTGTTCTCATGCTAATTTTGTGTTGCGTTGGTCGGTGAAAATAGGGCACATAAGCTGCCTTGTTTACACAAGGCACAAATTACACTAGTGCAGCTTCACTATCCCCATACAGATCAGTGATAAGCCCATGTGGACATTTACATACACAACCACTAATTCAGGATCTTTGTCTTTATCAGCAACGTGGTTAAAAAGTGTCCAATTTGAGTTGCCTCGATGGGTAATATAAGAGCCCATTATAACAATGAGCTACAGTCAGCAGCATAAATACTTTATGCATTAAATGTGATTTGAATAATATTTTATTTAAACAAATGAATAATTAAAAATACTTTTGATTGTCATTCAACTAGGAGAAATACTGAGATGTTAATTTGCAAATCCTTATAAGATTTCAAATGCTGATGTTAATTAAAATGGCTCTGTGTGTATTTCAGACACTATCCGAAGACGTCATTCACCAGTGTTGCAGACACTCCGGAGAACCTGCGCCTGAAACAGCAAAGCAAGATGCAGAGCCAGGTACAACATGCCAATATTTGCTTTCTCTTATCATCCTCTCTCCTCTTTTGGTGATTTCTGGTTTTTGTGGCATTGCACTCCTAAGCATGAAGTAATACTCAAAGAATGCATAAGTCAAGTCATAATCATCTCCTAGAGCTCCACCTGCACACTCAACACTGCTCTTGTGTGAGGAAGAACCATGTTGAACACAGATTCTGGTGTATCGTGACTTTTTAAAACATTAGAAAATGTTTTTTGTAGTAATAACTATTAGGTCAGATAAACTATTATACAAGCAACAATCATCATGACATCTCATTCCACTTTCTCAGTTTTTACAGATGTTGTTGTATTGACTGAATCAGTAAAGATAAACCATTAATCCTCATTATCTCTATTATGGCTTTTTTCCACTGCATAGTACGGTTCGGTTCGGTACGGCACGCTTTGGCGCTTTTCCACTGCATAGTACGGTACGGTTCGGTTCGGTTCGGCTCACTTGTGGTGCTTTTCCACTGCATGGTACGGTACGGTACGGCTCGCTTCGGCTCGCTTTAAATGGTACCTGGTCTGTTGAGGTTCCAAGCGTACCGTACCGGTACTAAAATGTGACGTAAAAACACTGCAGATCACTGATTGGTCAGACAGAATCGTCACTACCAGCATCATTGGACACTAAACCCGCTAGATTTAAATAACCAGTAGACAACAGCCAACGCGGTAGCATCTGTTTTTTAAACTTTAAAAAGAAATGGCTGAATCGTGGTCAGTGGACGAGGTGCAGACGTTCCTCTCGTTGGTTGCCGAGGAGCGGATCCAGCGAGAGCTATCACCGGACCTACAAACAGTGTAGGGACAAAATAACGATCAGTCCCACCCACTTTGAAGGGGTACTAACTGCGGTGGAAAAGCAACCGAGCTAAAGCGAACCGAAACGTGCCGTACCGAGTCAAGTCGTACCACACAGTGGAAAAGCGAAGCGAGCCGAACCGTTCCGCGCCGAGTCGAACCGTACCGAGCCGAACCGAGCCGTACCAGCAGTGGAAAAGCGCCATTATTGTCACAAAAAATAAATATATTTATAATAGAAGTTTATCAGTAGCTACGGAGCAACATTTGTTCCCAAACTGGCCCAATTTTTTTTACCGTTATTTAATTTATTGCTAGCTTATTATAAAACCCTTTAAATAAGGGATTTAAACTCTATTTAGACCCAAATAGATTTGAAAAAATTATTAACCTCAAATAAAATTATTAGAAAATAAAACGGCTCATAATATTTAGATTTTGACCTTCTGAGGTTGATGATGAATGTTTTTCTAAATGTTATGCACCTGTGTTCACTTACCAATTGTTGAAAAGAAAAATGACTTAATTTGTAAAAGTCTGAGGGCCTTTTTACCATGTGATTTTTTTTTGTGGAAAATGCCAAATGTTGTTTTTTGTGATTATCCATTAACTAATCTGCATTTATGCTGATATAATATAAGGGAGGGAAGTACACCTTTGAACCTTCTTCAATCGAAATTAACAATTATGATAACTTGGATATTTGCTATTAATTTTCATGTGTGTTTGTGTTGCAGGTGCTCTACAAGGAGGAATTTGAGAAGAACAAAGGAAGGGGCTTCAGCGCTGTGGCCGACACACCAGAGATGCAGAGAATCAAGAAAACGCAAGACCAAATAAGCAACGTAGGTCTAACTCTTAAACAATACATTTAAAATCATCTACCAAAACATAGACATGGAAGCATTGTTTTTTTCTGTTCATTTTCTTTCTCCTGTGTATTATGCCTGACATTTACTTTTGCTTGTTGTTTTGCGCCTCAGCCTCCCAGCCTTTCTCTTCATCTCTCCAACAAACACAAATATACACAGTTTATCTATCATCTTAATCTCCTTTCATTGTTTATTAATGAATTGTTAGCAAGAAGTCATAATTATTTGAGCTTAATGGAGCACTTGTTTAGTCCCACCCTTCCTCTTTCACACCACACCTGTTTGTTGAAGTATCTGTGCTGTTGCCTGGCAACATTTATGTCACCAACTTCCTTTTTGCAATGTCATTTCCTGTCAGTATGAAAGCGAGCAAGACGGCACTCTATTATCTGTCTCAGGAGACACCCTGTGGATGGTGCAGGAATTACTATTCATTTGTCACCTCCGCTCAGAATGAAGTTTAATTAAATTAAAACCTCTTGCTGAAACCACCACTTTACAAAATGAAGGACTGTTTTCTGAGTAGTTTAATTATAAGATAGCATGGCATCAGTATTTCTCATGCATTCTATTTTTATTCTTCCTCGCTTCAATTTCCTGTAGTTATTTCTGCTTGAACCGCTTACCCTAAGTGCCCATTGCTGCAGAAGAAAACCGCATTGTGGTTGTCTTCATTGTTGCTCTATGATTGCTTTTAGTACATGGTCAATGAAGGCATCATACACATCTGTTCAAAAGTTCTTTTTTTATGATAAATAATTCTTAACTCAGCAAGGATACATTAAATTGATAAAAAGTGACAGTACATAATGTTACAAAAGATTTCTATTGCAAATAGTGTATATATATATATATATATACATACAGTATATAGTGGTGTGTCGTGGTTTAAAATGAGGCAAAGTCCTCACATTTTTTATATAGCAATTTATGTTTCTGTTGCACTTAATTTTCCTAGTTAAATAAACATTACATAAAAAAGAGAGACCAAATACAATTCTATTTTGTATTTTTACACTAACTCTATCATAAAAAATCATAAACGCAGACCAGTGTCATATACAATCATCATAACTGATCATATCCAGTAATAGCTTGATGGAGGCATTACCTCCTCTCACGTGACTTTCCCCCATTCATTCTCAATTAGAATTATCAGATTAATTTTTCAGAACAAATTATATTCATTTTTTTTTTCTTCACAACAAATACTTTTCATTTGCAATCAGTGGCGGAACTAGAGTTTTATACATGGGGTGGCCACTGCTACTTTCGGGGGTACACAGTACACACACAGTGGAAAAGCTTGTGGAAGGAATTGGGTCACTCTGTTTGTGTCTATAAGTGTTGAACATCCAAAATATTTGCAGAAAACAAAGCTGAAGCACCAAGTAGATAAGATACCGCATGTGTCTGTTATGAACTGCTGCATTTATTTACAAAAAACCTCACATTTACACAAAAAAAAAGTTTTTATTTTAGTTTAGATATTAGATATAGCAGGCATCAAGCAGACATGTCCTTGAAAAAGTTAAACAATTGTATTGCCCATCAAAATAAAATTTTATCCTGGGAAGATTAAATACAACATAATTCTTTCTTTATAATAATTCTAATTCTAATTATTTAATTTATAATTAATTTTTTTGTTCATTTTTGGGTGAACTATCCTTTTAATCTGGCAAAATCATCTCAACTTAAATTCCTGAATTGGGTATGTGATTGACTGCCTGTGTGTGGTAGATGCTCTGACCTGTTGCTGGTTCTGAAGTCTGACCACACTGACTCTGACTAGCCAGTGGTGATGCAAGGGCTGGTGGGTCTGTTTGCACCTGATCTGCCTGTTAGTATAGTCATTTTAAGCCAAAATGGGGGTCAACCTTGAACAAATTGCAACAGGCAAACTCAACTGATTTTGTATCCTCAATGTCTTGAGTAAGGAAAAAAAAAGTCCCAAAGAATCCCATTAGGAAAAGTTTAGAAAACAAAAGCAAATATAGCCTATTCATACGTCTATTCATTCTTTTTCTTACGAGAATAGGGTAAAAAGTTTAACCTTTAGATATCACCATGAAAATTACTGAGTTGATTACTTACATCAAGACAAACAAAAAATGTATTCCAAGTTTTTTTAAATCGTTTGTTAAGAAGGACAAACGGTGCATAATCTAATTACGTATGTGCTAATTTGCATAAATACCACAACAGATCTAAACATTGAGTCTAGCCAGGTGAAAATGTCTTGTTGAATCTTGTTGACACATAACAGTAAAATACTTAATGTTAAGGTCTGAATGGAACCCATTTAGGCTACCCATGAGCATTAATACATAGAGGCAGGAAGAAGTACTTTAGAAACCAGCCTTTTTTAATTATTAAGAGATGGGGTTTGGGTTCTGGGTCTGTGCGACTGTTTCTGGGGGACGAGTCTAAGGGAAGAACAGGAGAATGCAGAAGACAAAAGGTAAGTAAAATAAAAAGTGAATCCCCAGAAACAGATTTCGAAACTTTCCCCTATAATGGGATTCTTAGGGACTTTGTTTCCTTACTCAGGACATAATGAGGATACAAAATTATTTGAATTTGCTTCTGTTGCAATTTGTTCAACCTTTTTTTTCATAAAATGACTGGACTATGTTTGTGCTTATTTTAAAATAACTCTGATATCTCTCCCTTTCTTTTCATGTTTAATTGACCCTGTTCAAAAATATGACATATTTAAAATATGATTCCAATCATATTCATATTCTAATCATCATCCAATTACCAACATTTAAATCTTTCTCGCCAGTATAAAAAAAAGTGGTTTTGGTAATTTTCACAATTTCATGGCACCCCAGAATATTTTGTTGTATGAATATCTGAACACACCAAAAGAAAGAACAAACCCTGTGCTTTTAAAACAAAAACAAAAAAATAATGTTATTCTAGCTTCGTGCGTCTTTTTTTTTAATCAACACTTGAATGGTGGCAAGTTTCATAAAAAGCAACATGAGTAAAAAGCTGAGAAAATCGCATTTTTATCAAAGACTACATCTAGATAAGATTCATAATGATGATCAAAACACAGTAGATCGAGCCCATCAACAACCTACACCATAAAGCTTCATAGTCCTATAGTGATCGCATTATGATATCGCTTGTTTCTGCTCTTATTTGCCTGCGTTTTGATCTCCTATCCTCACATTAGCTAGAACATTTGTATACTGTAACGTACACACGGCAAGGTCTGTATATGCGTGTAGGCCTAATGTAGGCTATGGAGCAAACCACCCTGATGCTAAACTTTAAAAGCTTACTTCAAATATGATGCTTTCTTATGCGGTGAGGTTCGGTATCTTGCAACCATCTCTCGTCCTCTGCTCGTCCGTTTGAAAACTGCGCGCGCCGCGCTGCCGGCGAACGTAATTTAAAAAAAATATATCAGCATCAGCAACTGCCAGTAGCAAATAAAATTTTGGGGTGGCACCCGGGGTGGCCAATCGCATGTCAGGGGTGTCCAGTGCCACCCCGGACCCCCCTCTGGCTCCGCCACTGTTTGCAATAGTAACTGGAAAATATGAAACTGTAATATAACTCCATTATTCATGTACACATTTTTTTGTTGGAAATCAATGTCATATGTTGCATATGTTTTATATAATTTTCAACCCAGCTGCTTCCAAGACATCTGCTTTTTATGACAAATAATTCTCGCAATTCTGACTGTTATTCGGCTAAATAATGTTACTTTGGTGACATATTTTGCAGAATTCACCACAACGTTTAGTACATCACTAAATTTTCGTTTGTGAGGCTTTGAGATGATGAACATAAAACATAGTGACAACAATCATAGTTACTGTTCTTTCTTCCTGTTTTGACACATTGTATATGTCTGTGTGTGTTTTAGATTAAATACCATGAGGACTTTGAGAAGAGCCGAATGGGAGGGGAAGGCCCACCTCAGCACCCACAGACACCTCAACAAATCACAACTCCAGGTACACAATATTTTGATTGTTGTCCGGATGATCATTGTAGTCTCAATTTCCTGTGAGCCATAAAATATGAAAATCTTTTCTCTTGTAGCATATCAGCCCCCGGCAGCATCTAAGAACTATCACTATGAGCCTGAGCCCGTGCGTCAGGCCGCTGCCGCCCCTCCTCCCAGCTCTGGGGTAATAAACTCTTAAAACTCTAACACACACTGTCCCACACGCTCCTTCTTTTCAAGTCCTTATGGTCCTCTTTGCATGTGTTGCAGAAGCGCTACCGAGCGGTGTACGACTACACCGCAGCTGATGAGGACGAGGTGTCGTTCCTGGACGGTGACCTGATCCTGGACGTTCAGCAGATCGACGAGGGTTGGATGTACGGAAGAGTGGAGCGCACTGGCCAGCAGGGGATGCTGCCTGCTAACTACGTAGAGGCCATCTGAACATGAGAGAGTGAAAGGATGAAAAGGTTGAAAAAAAAGAGAGAGGGGGTTGCGGCAGAGACGCAGATGATTAGCCGAGTGCCATCTCACCTTTCAAGATCTCATCTTTTTCCTCTTCTATTCCTGCACTAACTGTCCTATCAGGGGTCAGCCGCTGTGACCCGGTTATGATCCAAAACAAACATAGTTCAGTATGTAATCATACACCCCAGCAGCGCATACACGTACTTGCATAAATAGTGAATGATTTACTCCTTTCACCCATATCTTTCTCTCTGTATGCACCTCCCTGTCTATTGCTTTTGCTGTCTGTTTATCTTTTTAAATACGCGTTTCCTCAGTCCTGGAAAGGTGCTGTCACAAGTGGCACTTAAGTCTTAATAAGACTCGCGCACACACAAACCCACAAAATACATGACCACACAGGCCTCTAAAATATTTAGGGCCTGCCGTAGAGCACTTCGCAGACATCTCAACAAATTTATCTTATCGGTTGCTATGACAATATGTGAAAGAATCTGGTCCGAACTTCAGTTGTTATGTTGTTGTTTTTTCATATATATATATATATTTTTAATTGTTTCATATCTTGTTTGCAGTCTGAGCTTCACATCTCATTGACTGTGGTTCTGTAACAATGCTTGAATATAAGACTTCTGGTCATTCCAATCATTCCATACGTCTGACCATTTGCATCATGTGTTGAAACTGGAATCTTAAGGGGCGAAGCCTTTTGCTACTTTCATATTCATTCAAGCTCCTTCACATTCCGCTGGCCCTTTAGGAAATTAATTAGAATATTTGAGCATACTTTTGTTCTGCTGCTCCTGCTTTTAAAAATGACAAGGAAATAGTGATGTACTTAATAAAGGGAAAAAAATAAACTATATAGTCACTTAGCGAGCGAGGAGTGGATCAGCATCGTAGAATAGAAGCGAGGAGCCCAAGCACAATTCTATGGACCATTTTTGCTTTGGATTTTAATCATTCCTTTGGTTTTGTTCCATTACGGTTTTGGGGTGTTCCATGTGCATAGTATGAAACTGTAAGACGTTGTTATTGATGTTTTTGTTAGTTTGATTTTTTTTTTTTTTCATATCATTGCTTATTCACATTGCCTTGCTGGTATTGTACGAGACGGAATTTTAATGTCAATTTATCAATATCAGTGGAATAAAAACAATCTATTTGTATACCAAGGCAGGCGGGTTTGTCAAACGAAAGGAATTGTTAATGGTATTAGAATGTTTTAGAGCCTAGCATGTATAACTGGAAACTATGTTACTGTGCAAAGACTCTAATGAGATTCTACTGATCATTGTTCTCTAAAATGCCAAAATATAGATGCAGAGAATGATCAAAGTGTTTTGCTTTCACACTATTTCCACTATTGTAACTTCAGAGGTGCAATATCTGGGTTACTTTTTCCTCTTCTTGAAAACATATCCTCAGAATTTCTTCAATATTTAGTATCGGTGTACCACCAATATTCCTCCAATTCATTGTAACACATTTTTAAACAACAGCTGCTGCACTTTATCAACATAAGATGCCATATACTAATATCTAATATGTGCGCTACCATTCAAAGGTTTGGAGTGCGCAAGATTCTAATGTATTCGAAAGCTATCATTTGCTCACTAAGGCTGCATTTATTTAATCAAAAAAGTACAGTAAAAAACGTAATATTGTGACCTTTTTTTTTCAGGATTCTTTGATGAATAGAACGTTCAAAAGAACAGCATTTACTTAAAATAGGCTTTCTTGAAATAGAAATCTTTTGAAGAATTGTCTTTACTGACACTTTTGATCAATGTAATGCATCCTTACTGAGTAAAACTATTATTTTCTTTCAAAATTAAATGTTACTGATCCCAAAGTTAGAATGGTATTGTATAAATTGGATTTCTAAAGCTCTTTCCCCTTTTGTAAAACAAATTTTGTAGTCAAGGTTTTTTGATAAGATGAGACATAAAGGGATACAACAAGATACTAAAAATATCCAAATCAGAATATTAAAAAACTTCAATGCTTTTTATTTCACTTAAACCCTTTTGTTTTGTCCCATCTCTTTATTCCAACACATGCTATTCTAGCTTAAATCTAACAAGGTTTAGCTAAAGTTGAATTGTTCTTCTTTTACACACTCTGGTGGAAAATCTATGACAGGATGTATAACATCTCACTGTTAGTAATGGTCATTATTGAATGACAAATCACCCAAAAATAAACAGGAAGGATATTGAAAAGGAACTAAAAGGTAGAAAATGTGTGAGAGAAGAAAAATAAACTCACAAAAACCTTGCATGTATAAATGCTTGCCCTCATGTCATGGGTCACCTTGTGTGAATATAAACATGCATTTGGAGTAAAAAAAATAAATAAATAAATAAAAACTCAGCAGAAGCAGACACATCCTGCTCAACTTTCAAATGTAACACAATTAGCTTCCTCTACTGATAAAAAAAAAAAACATAAAAGTAATGCTTTCTTATCATCTAGTTACCTTCCCTTTTTTTCGTATGGTGAAGTACAGACTAGTTTGATCCTGATAATCAAATCTTGCACTCATCAAAAGAGGATGCACATGATAAACTCCACGTTCAGCGCTCGGCCCCTGTTATTGCTTGCTGTATCTTTCTAGAAGGGAGGACAGGACAGTAGTATTATAGTGATCAGCTGGCGGGGAGGGTCTCAAGACCACAGCGGTCCAACAGCCCTTATCGCTGCCTGATCATCCTCCGCTTCTGCTCTGCAAACATCATGCTGGACATCTTGATATTGATGTTCTTCGCCATCATCGGCCTCATGTTCCTGTCCTACATCATCTACATGCTGTGATCGCCATAGCATCCATGAGAGCGGATGCGGGATTCACGTCCTCGGGGGGATTTGAACACAAAGGTTGGCGATGAATTTGAGCTAATTGTGTTTTTACACTGTATCGAGAAAAAAAACACTCTTTGTGCTGTTTATACTAGGGATAATATTGGGTTGACTGACCAAATCGTTTTAAGGCAGGTTGTGGTTATGGTTAGAAATTATGACTAATTTTAAAATGTAGCTGGATATTAAAATTGTAGTAGTAAAAAATATATATATATGAAATAAGCACAATAGTCTAACGCGGGGTTATGTTCGTTTTTTTCTTTAAAAAATAAATAAATATTAGCTACTAGGCCATGCTATAACCGCTATGCGCTGTATTTTGTTGCAGCTTACAGGAAGAAGCGCTGTGTTTGTGGGATCATGTCTCTGGATCCTGAGATGAGGAACAGCTGTAACGAGAATTCAGTAGAGGACGCAGCAGGATACACTTACAAGATGAGACTTCACACTTCCTTCTCATCTCTCTGTCATACAAACACTGTTCCTACAGGATAGCACCTGACGACACACACACACACACACACACACACACACACACACACACACAACCTACACCAGACTGCTGTGTTTCTCCTACCTTTTATTTAGAAGACACTATTAAAATATATTTACCTAAAGCCGCAGTCCATGGCTGAAACAGTAGGCTACCACAAACTCTAAGGATCTATGGCTGTCTGGCTATTATTTGTGTCCTATTCTTCTGTCTATAATTTCTGCACATATCTATCTGAAAATATATCTATTTTCAAATGCATGTATTTTATGTCAATGGATGTTCAAAAAATACCAATTGATTTTCAGAATAAAGAGCCTTTGTGAGGATGAAACGGCCTAATTGTGTAGAATTATTTATGTGTTGAAATAGATGGTCAAACAGTCTACGGAATTATTATTAAATCATTATTATTATGCATTATGGGTAATTTTTACATGACTGATTATATATATCTTTATATGTGCATAACTGAACGGTCTCAGTATGGCGAGGGGGTATAGCTCAGTGGTAGAGCATTTGACTGCAGATCAAGAGGTCCCCGGTTCAAATCCGGGTGCCCCCTACGGTTGTTTTGAGAAAATACATTTATGTAATAAAACCGGATGACTGCAAATATAACAAGATCAAACAAGTTATCCGCGCTCATAATAAGAAAAGGCGATACGAAATTGAAGACATATTTAAACTTCGATCAAGTGATTTGTGCTGGATACAGATCACCAACAGAGTGCAGCACCGGACACCAGATGAGCGAGTGCCACGTAGACAAAGGCACGAAATATGAAGAATTACAGCGACATCCAATTAAACCACATCAACCCTACATGAGCAATCTCAGCCATCGCGGTCATCTTGAATCATCTTCCCCCGGTTTCACAGACCAGGCTTAAACTAGTTCTAGATTTAAATGCATGTTTGAGCTGTTTTGCAACTTACTCTGACAGATCTTAAAATATGTCAGTGCCATTGCTTTGTCTCAAGATGCACACCAGTTGCCCTAATGTTTTTTTCTTTCTTTCAGGCACGTTTATAAAAGCTACTTAAATGCCCTAATTGAACTAAGGCTTAATCCTGGCTTAATCTAAGCCCTGTCTGTGAAACCGGGCCCTTGTATAATATTGTGTATTTAGATCAGTCAAATCAGCCTGCTCCTGAAGATTTGGACTTTTCTTCACTGGACAAATGCAGCCATATTATATTTTCTAGTTTAATTATAATTGTCTATATTTTGTACCATTTCATTTCTTTAGTTTATTAAGTGTTTTGTCATGTCATGTTACATGTGTTTATCGAATGGCTAATGTTTCCGTTTCTATTAAAGTCAATGAGCACAGTGAGACAATTAAGTCCAAGCAGCATAAAGTATTGACTCTTGAACAACAGAATCATCTGAGGTATTAATATTTATAGATATATATTATGGATTGAAAACATTGCCCAGAAACTTAAATTTTCCCACTAAGCACCTGGCAATGTCTCTCTTTAGTGTAAATTCCTATAGATGTGTAAATAGACAGTGAATTTTACTATTTTAAATAGACAGTGAATGTTTTTAATTTAATAGAAGAAACTAATGTATTTTCCTTTAAGCAGTTTCACGTATTATTCAGTCCTCTCTATCTGAAGTGGTTTTATTGTAACTACACAGCTGTGTAAAATGTTGGTAATAAAATCTCAGGTGACTGTCATCAGCAGCCATCAAGCATATCAGAGTGGAACTTTTAGTATTTTGGTTCTCATCACAAATCAGAAAAGGGAAGCTCTCTCTCTCACACACACACACACACACACACACACACACACACACACACACACACACACACACACACACACACACACACACATTTCAGAGCCGTTCATCTAATAAAGCAGTTTTAATATTACAGGAGTCTGCTCATGTCTGTGCCCGAGAGTGAGTAACATAAAGTTACTTCCTCTCTGGACTCTCCAACTCCAAGCCTAGAAGTCATGAGACAAAGCACATGACAATGTACACCTCATAGCTACACGTTCACAGGAAATGCTAAAATAATGTTACTTCAACATTTCATTGACATTTAAATGCTTTAGTAAACATTTTCTAGTTTCATTAATGGGGCTCTACAAATAGCTGTAGTAAATGCATTCAGAAAACTGGTCAATTGGATTTTAAGCTGCTTCTTTTTTTTTTTACAGAATAGCCTATATGTTGTATCCTGCAGTTTCACAGCCTTATTCTTAAAAATGGTTAATACCATAAATATTTGATCTTATCCATATAATGTGTGGCTAACATCTGGTGGTTATGAAAGATAGTTCAACCAGATAAACAACTGGTTTACAGGCTAATATTCCTTCTATTATCTGGGATTGCATTCACACATATCAAAGTGGAAGCCTGCAATGGAATATACCAAAATGTCTATTAAATAGGGGTGTTATTCAAATGACACAATCACCGAATGCTCACACAAAACTACTAATGAGCATTAAATTCTACTAAAACGCTGAAAGTCCTCTCTGTGATCCCGTGATAGTCAGTCATTTCAAAATCCTAAAAAGAAACGCATTGCGTATTCATAAGTCATCCCCAGAGAAGCGGAAATGGACCCTGCACTCATGGTTGATCATGTGACACTCTCCGTTTCGCCATTTTCTTCCTCTCCACCGGCGATCAGCGTCCTGTTGGATTCGTGACCAACCTCTCCTGCTCTTACAAGACCTGTCAACCTAGAATAGATCTTCTTTGGAACCTTAACCTCCTAGACTGAAGCCTTCTTCCCTTTCTGTCTTTAGTTTTAGTGTCCTGAACGCGCCAGAAGAATGTCTGCCTCGAGCCCCGAGTACTCACCCTTCTTCGCAGTGATGGGTGCCTCAGCAGCAATGGTGTTCAGTGGTAAGAGACGCGTCATTTTAACCTTAAATTCAGTGAATGCTTTATTAAATGACAACCCTGAGTAAACGCGATGATCGATCGTGTGTCTGTGAACGGGGTAGACTGGTGGTGTTGCGGCTCGCTGAGCCGTGTACCTGTAGTAGGAGAAGGGATGCGAAGGTTTCCATCACGGCACATGACGTCTCACTTGACGTAATGTCTATAAATTATTTATTTCGTTTCATTCCTTCATTGTCACGGTTCACCGATCCCTGCGTGGAAAACCTTAAGACGCTTTCGTTTCGGACGAGCTGAGTCTCCTGGTTTAATATTTGCGCAAGGACGTCATTTATTTAATGTCCTCTAAACATATATGGTTGGAAGACACGACCGATTTTTTGATATTCTAATAATCTTCTTATAATCTCATATTTTGGTCTAGACTGTAACAGTAGCGTCGTTTTAGTGTCATATTGATTTTTTTCCCAAGCCAAGGCGAAATGCATTACTTAATTAACATGAACCGGTTTGCTCTTATCTAATGCGACAGTACTTTTTAAAACACAAACTACACGCCCAGACAAAAACGTCCTTGTCAGTTTAACTGTTTATCTCAGTCAGAGCCACACTTGTTTTCTGTATTCAAACGACAGCCATTACTCTTAGTATTTTACATTTTCTCAGTCAGCACACCATGCCTAAATCCCGGAATGATCCAAATAAATTTGAAGCACCTCATCTGCTTCCTACAAACCAAGGGAACTCGCTGCTGTAGTCAGTCATGTGACTGAACGCGACAACAATTGGCCACTGTTTTGCTGACCTGGCCTTTTAAAACCTTTAAAGCAAGACAACACATGTAATTAGGGTAAAAATGTAACTGATAAATCCATACTTCCCCAGCTGATTAGTCACTACATTACTACATTAACTCGTTTTGTATTCCAGGTTTTCTTAAATGTTGTTTAAACACACAAATGTTATCAAACAATAAAATATGATCTAATTTAAATATACATGGATTTGCATACATTTCCAGAACAGAAATTTGAACATTCGATAAAAATTAAGAAAAAATATTAAAGATCTTTTACAGAAAGTGATTTTGTATATATTTTTGTATCACTCCATACATCAGAAAATATTGGCAACGGCCAGAAAAAAAATGATCATGTTTTTAGGAATGACATATGTAAATCAGGCAAATGATATATGAACAAACACCTCTGTAAAAAACTTCAGAATATAGATCCAGAAAGTTTAGTAAGTCTCAGCCCATGATAAAAAAATAAAAAATAAAAAAAAACTTTTTGAGAAAACTGCCTATATGTATTGTAATTGAAATCTACAGACGTAAATGGATAATGTGTGTAATAAAACAAATACTTAAGTGTGAGTTTCCTTTGCACTAAAAGACGACATGTTATGGAAGCAAAATAGCTCCAAATCTCAACATTGAGCAGTGCATGAAAAAACCCAATGGTTTTGCTTGTATTGTTTTTCCTTAAAAAAGTTACACCGTGTTCATGGAAAAGCTGGTGTGTATTCGGGGGTTGATATTTCAGACACATGTGTTAGAATGGTGTTCATTAGTTGGGTATTCGCTCAAACCCACAACTTTGCCTTGTCCTGTATTCATTGAACTTTAACCCATCATAAGTACTTGTTCTCACTTTCTTTGTCTCCTTGCACGTGTTAATTCTCCTCTTCTCTCTTTTTAGCATTGGGTGCTGCATATGGGACAGCCAAGAGTGGCACGGGCATTGCTGCCATGTCAGTGATGCGACCGGAGCTGATCATGAAGTCCATCATTCCCGTGGTCATGGCGGGTATCATTGCCATTTACGGCCTGGTGGTGGCTGTACTCATTGCCAACAACATCTCTCCCACAGTCACCCTCTACAAGTGAGTCACGCACCTCACGTGTGTCTGATTTTCCTACAAGCCACTCTCAGCTTCCTCAGAAACAAAAACTAGTACATTTTTTATTGCTGGCTGAGTTGTAATTTAAATAGCTATCTATAATATCTAGGGGTGTGCAAAAAAATCGATTCACATTTGAATCGCGATTCAATCTTTACCGATTCAGAATCGATTCATAGAATTCCAAAAATCGATTCATATATATTTTTCTTAATGGTGTGCAGGGGCTGAGTGGCAATCGGGTGAGTCGGGACTTTTACCGGTGGTCCGGTAGTGTTTCGGGGCCGGTCTGATAAATAGTTACATTGCAAGTTCTTGCCGCCCGCTGGTCAAACTGTGCAGCCTCTCTGCTCAACCCGTAAATAAATGCATCCTTCCGCAGATCTTATGTTTGACTTCTGTAGATCTTTTGCCAAGCGTGTCAGAGTTTACGGGTTCTAAACCGCACTCGTATAGTTTTTTCTCTCTCATCAAAACCGAATATGTTCATCACGTTTGTGTGCATTTTATTTTGTGATTTCACCGGAGTCTCCACAACGGCGATAGACTGAAGCGCGCGTCCAAGTGAAGACTGCGTGAGCCACAGAGAACACTGTATCCATGACACTGATAGCAGCGGACACGAGCGCGCAGCTTGATTTCAAAAACAACAGATCTCTTATTTAATAGCGAACTAAATGAATGCTCTGCTAGTTAACTGGAGATACCCGCAAATTACGCCTATGAACGACTTCACTGGATCTAAACAAATCAATCTAACGGATGTTACCAGTAGCGGTGGCTTTTTAAAATCTATTTAAAATAATTTCGCAAGGGTTCTATGACATTAGTATATATTTTTAGGAAGTTCAATGTGCCCAGTCGAGTTCACATTTCAACAGTCAACCTGGTAGCTGAAGTAGTCCTTAAACCACATTTAGCATAATTGTTTGTTTGATCTGACTACACCACTTTAAAGCTAAATGTAAAAGCTTTTTATTTAAGTTTTATTTTAAACTTCAATTAAATGTATTTGAAAGCTGGCCAAAGCTTGGCACTTTGCACTTTTTAGTTGCAAAAGTTTTTATTTTTGTATGAAGACATATAAAGTAATATCAAACTACATTTAATTTGTTGTGTTTCTTTTCTTTTAAATTATGTCTACTGCAATCAATCACATAGGAAAAAGTAAACTACATTTATATACTGTAAATCGTTTTTTGAATCAAATCGATTTTGAATCGAATCTTGACAAAAAATTGGTATCGAATCGTGACATTTTCTGAATCGTGCACCCCTAATATTATCTGTTTTATATTATAATAATAATCTAAATCTAGATATAACACTATATTAGAATTGATTGACAATGAGGGTATTTAAACAATTAAAGAGGTTATTACAGTTTGTGTACATGGAGGTGTAAGGGTATTGTTTTTTTTTTTAAATTATTATTAATATATTTTATTTGGTTGTAATGGAAAAATCCCAATGACTGTCTACATTTTATTGTCTTCATAATGTTTGACAAATAAAAAATATTGTTACAAAAAAGATTTAACACTTTTATTAGAATTGATAGTGAGAGTATATAAACCTATATACCGATAGACACGATTAACCAGTAGAAATCTGTCAACCGGTAGAGATCTTGGACTGTCATCTCTAGCTTGGTTACGCTCACGTGATATAGCTGTGCTATGCAGTTACGAAAGCTTATGGTTTACATGCCTTTTTTAAGCATTGCGGTTTAAAAACAAGTGATTTTTAAACTGTTGAAGTGTAGTAAACAGCGAAAGTGAACTCATTTCGCTATATGCACATGCTGTCTGAGAGACATGCGCACATGAAGCCGTGCGAGTACTGAACTGAGTTCTTTTGGCAGCCTAATTGGGAACCAATGGAAGTATCCTCATAAACAGTAATTTATGTCTTAAGTGAATGTAAACAGTTGAGAGAGAAAAAATGCATGTGTAACAGTATATTGGATCATGTATTCGATCTTAAAGTGACTGCAGCCTAATAAACCTGCTGTTATCCGTGTCATTAATGTTAATCAAGCAAGAAAAGAAAGAATTTCTCACTGCTCTTGACTGAATCACTTTTGTAACTTTTTGTAACATTGAAGACTGCAGGTTTTTTTTATTATAATTTTTTAGTTATAATGTAAAAATCCCCATTACTGTCTGCATTTTATTGTCTTTGTAGTTAGACATAAGATATATTGTTACAAAAAAGATAAACAAAAATTATATTAGAATTGATAGGTAGAGTATATAAACATTTGAAGAGGCTACATCTGTACATCTGAGGTGTAAGGTTTTTGTTCTTCCATTATTATTTGGATGTAATGAGTAAATCACAATTACATTTGTCAATTGTCTACATTTTATTATCTTCATAATGTAAAAAAATATTGTTACAAAAAAGATATAACACTATCCAAATGTGTTTTGTGTGCGTGTCTCTCTTTAGGAGTTTCTTGCACCTCGGTGCCGGGCTGAGCGTGGGTCTTAGTGGTCTTGCGGCTGGCTTCGCCATTGGTATCGTGGGTGATGCAGGAGTGAGGGGCACAGCCCAGCAGCCTCGTTTATTTGTGGGGATGATCCTTATCCTCATTTTCGCTGAGGTTCTGGGGCTTTATGGGCTAATTGTTGCTCTTATCCTGTCCACCAAGGGTTAATCGTTGCTCTTATCCTCTCTTACACATGAACAACCATCAACCACACACACACAGACGCACCAACACAAACATCCTCCTAATGATACACATTGAGTAATTTCACCACCCGAAACGATGAGAGGATTTTTTTTTTGCGTGCATGCGTGTATCGTGAGTGTGCTGTTTGCAAGTGAATGTGTGATTGAACCTCCTCTCTGTGTATAGTAGCCTGATGTGTGTTCCCCTGTAAATGCGCTGTGTAGCTATTGCTCTCGTCCTGTGTGTGTGTTTAAATAGATGCCCTCTTTCTCCTATGCTACACTTGTTTGTCATCCTTTTATTTTGTCAGTTTTATTATTGTTTAAAGAACAAATCAACTGTCATTTTGTTTTCTCACTTTTGGGACCATTTAAATTGACACTGATGTTGAGGACCTAAATGTATAAAAGATGGATTATTACTGTTTGTTTTGTTTCTGCTGATTATTTATGAAGATTTTGAGATGTTCATTAAACAGTTTAAATGGATCAAAGTCTTTATTGATGACCTGATTATCTAAATGAATTATGTGAGTGTGTGTGTATCAGAAATATACATATATATCTGTATAGGTAGGTGAATTGCTCGGTGGGAAATTTGTTGAGTTCCTCTGGGTATGTTAATCATTGATTGCCATGGAGACCATTGTCTTAAGGTATTGATGTGCAAGTTTACTAAGTGTGAAATGAATGAATGCACACGTGTGTTTATGAGCGAGTGTGTATGTTTTAACTCTTACCATGACATTCTTCAGAGGTGTAGCGTTTTACCTGTAGTTGATACTGTTTCTGGTTCCATTAATGGGTGAACACCAGCGCAGCTTGTCCAGTTTCCGAATAAAACTTCCTCAACCTAATTTCAGTTTCTCTTTTATTCAATCACACATGTCATGTAAAAATGGATATATACTACAGATGTTCAAAGTTCAAGCCAATACTTGAAGTGAAACATGTTATTTAACTTCATGGGCACAAATTGCAACCTATTATGAACCCAAGTACTTTTTACTAGAGCACAAATCATATCCGAGAATTATGTATCACCTAAATATATTCAGAAACTGCAACTATACATTTAACAATCATGATGCTCTCACATCATGGAATGTCAAGAGCCAGATATAATGATATGAGGGATTAATCCACAGGTTACCATCTGGTTGTCTGAATCTCTGCATTGCAGCCTCAACCAAACTTCCCTTCATGACGCTCTTCGTTGTTGCAGTCACGCTTCCACAGGAGAGGGGGCGCTAGAGAGCAGCGCTGCTTCATTCCGGAGCGCCTTGGTGCAAATTATTACCAGAAACGGTGTAACTGCAGGGAAAATGAATTGTGATAAATACCAGTTTGTTTATTATGTCACATCAGCAGTAGGAAAATACATGATTCTATCAAACGAGGATGTTTGAGTTGGATTATAACAGCAACACATAGTCATTATGAGTGAGTCATGAAACCTGTCAGAAGCATCCAGGCCTCGTTTCAAAATAAAAAAAATTACATTTTGAATAAAATAGTCTAATTTTGAACCTTTACGGTATTTGTACACAGTGACATTATTTTAATAATAAGTAAAAAAAGAAAAAAAATGCCTCATAATGACATTTTACTTTTGCTATTTATATACCCATTATTTGTTTTATTTAAATACACAAAAAACTGCATTAAATCATGAAATTATGATATACAGAAGTAATATACAAAAAAGACTAGAAGCCTAATGGTCCTAAAATACTAGGCTTCATTGTCTTTATGCAAAAATATTATTTCTTTCTTTTTTGGGGGGCTAAAGGTGCGTTCATGGCATGTCGTAATTATCGCAATTACATGATTTTAACTGATAATGTAGAGCAAAATTCCCAGTCCGATGACGTCTACAGCTCCATAGGCTGTAAAAAAAAATACCGTCACGTGACACGTCACGTGTTGTCACCTGGAGACGGTCTTTAGCGTGAAAGGCAGCATAAAACCGATCAGGCTTGATACTGTGTATTAACTAAATAACAATCTTAATCAAGGTAAATTAACAATATTCGGGTCTTACTTTTGTAGGTAAGAACAAACATGACAAATTGTAGATAACAGATTGTTCTGATACATGTGGTAGAATATATGTGTATACAACATACATGTGTCGGTTAAATTGATCGGTTGAAATTTGCTATAGAACATGAAGAACGCAGAAAAGAGCTGTTTGTCTAATTGAAACGGTCCAAAACTAATCTAGTTAATCGATAATAACAAATTTTAACATCTGCCTCCAGGTACTTGGGAAGCGTGCAGTGAACGTCAGAAAGGGGTTTAGCCTTCACAGTCTTGGGATGAGTTTGACATTTAAGTGACAGCTGTTTAGAACTGGAGCTAGAAAATAAACCACACCCACTTGGAATTTTCGGCCAATGGAGTTTTTGAACTGGAGAGGCGGGACTTTGGCGATGATTGTTTACGTCTGTCGTGAAAGTAGGTCACAGAAAAGTGTGACAGTTAGCTGGTGCCTGCCTGGTGGACAGAATCCGATTGCCTTCACAGATACATAACGTTACATTACAGTGTCATAATAAAATCTTTAGGTATACGGGACCAAACGATCGCGGTGGTATCCCTAAAAGGCAGGTAAGTTTGCTTGTGCTTGTCCTAGTGAATGCAGGATGTAGCGTCTGCTAAGTCCGCGAGCCTCCGTTAGCGCCAAGATCAAATGGCAAAGCCTGTTGCATTTTCTTACAATTATTATCATATGGGCTGGTATAATATTGTAATCCAAATAGGATTCCATGTTATTAGCGTGACTACAGGCGATCTGTTCTCCTATAAGTGAATAAGCCTTCATCTCTACAGACTTGCAAGGTGCCTGGCTCTGGCTGACCACTTTCTGCGAGGCCTAACAAGAGAACATGTTATTTTTATCTTATTTTTTGGGGGGAATCTGTCTTTAGGAGATACAGTATACCGACATGTTAGCTAGTTCATAATGATTGCTTATGCGAAATGAAATTACTGAATGCACGTAATTGACTGTTAAACTGAGCGTTGCCTGTTTACATCTCGCGCGAAACACTACAGTGTGGGGTTACAGTGTAAGCTTTACGATCGCAGCTCACGCGCAACGGGCTGACAATAAAATGCATACTACGACAATTCGTTTGTCCTTTTGAAAATTATTTTAAACACATGAGGTAGGGAGGGACACAAAAGTTTATGGCTTATATCAAACTAACATATTGGTACACTACTGTATAATAACACACAATTCCTTAAAGTGATGTCCGGACGGGATGTTTGTTTTTAATGAACATACAAGTTCAAATAAAGGTCAAAATATGAGAATATTGTATATATTTTTAAATATGAGGGAAGAACTAAACGCTAAACATCGTTAGGGTAATTATCTGTCAATAATTTTTATTATTGGTTTTTGTGTGTGTTTTGATAATGCTTTCAAAAATAATTTCATAAATATATTTTATGAATTAACTTCTATGAACTGAATCAAATCAATATTTGGTGTGACCACCCTTTGCGTTTAAAACAGCTTTTGTCCTAGGGACACTTACTCGTAGTTTTTCAGGTAGATTTGCAGGAAGGTTTCTTCAAGCGTCTTGGAGACGTTGCCACAGTTCTTCTGCATTTAGTCTGTCTCAGTTTTTTCAGTTTCTTCATGTAATCCCAGATGATGGTTAGATCAGATCTCGGTGTGTATCATACCAGTTGTTGGCAGACTCCTTTTGCATACAAAAATCTCACTGGATTATTACAATTAATGGCAAAAGGAATGTTTAGAAATAATAATTTAAAAAAAACTGATATTATATCCTACTGACACACTACAGCAAAAGATATAAATAACTGGCTTAATATATATATATTTTTTTGAAAATACTAATGTGCCTAAGACTTTTGCACAGTACTGTAAATTGTCGTCAAGCTTTAATCTGCTAATATGTGACTATAAGGCATGAAGATAGTAAGATATTATAAACATCATGACTTTCAGTGAGCATTGTGAAAAGTGCTATACAAATAGATTTGACTTGCCTTGACAATGGGTTTCTCCAGCAGGACTGTTTGTTCTCTTTGTTTATGCTTGATGTCAACAACTGTTCTGTCTGTGATGGACAGGTGCGGTGGCTCCTGGTTGGCATGTCAAGGCGGAGCAGAAACAGCAGGGCGTGGAGGTACGTGTGGAGTGGAATCCGACGGGATGCAGATGCGAGAGCGCTGGTGCTCGCCTCCGAGAGTGACGAGTGGGGTTATGATCGCCAGCAGGTTGGTGTGGATGATGTGGATATGCCTTTAGATGAGGCAGCAATTATTTTTTTTAGTATGAGATGGCCTTTTGTCTGAAGTGCTGAACATCACAAAACAGCTCTTTCAGTTCAAAAAAGCACAAATGGCTGACAAAACGGACTGAAACTATGTCAGATCTGAATTTGCACGCATTTGTCCTGCAGTACAGTGACTCTGATTCCGAAGCTGAGTATCCGGCCATTGTGCCAGCGGTTCCGAGTGCGGTGCCTGTAACGGGAGAGTCGTACTGCAGCTGTGATTCACAGATGGAGCTCAGCTGTAACCCACGGCTCCGGGGTTACACACACTTGCGAGACTGCCACTGTGGAGAAGATGACCAAGGTGGTGCCAAATGCAACATTAATATTTTTTTTTTTACCTTGATCATGCTTATTATGACTGAACTTGTTCTCTTATTGGCTGTTTACTTGTTTGTCAGATTTTGACTGGGTGTGGGACGAGGGCAGCCGGTCGTCTGCAACCCTGCTGAGCTGTGAGAACAGGAAAGTGAGCTTCCACTCAGAATATAGCTGTGGAACGGCTGCCATTCGTGGCTCCAAAGAACTTTCGGAGGGACAACACTTCTGGGAGATTAAAATGACTTCCCCTGTCTATGGCACAGACATGGTGAGAGACAAGAGTGTGTCTTTATGCGTGATTTGTGTGGTAGTAATATTCTGTATGGTTAGGAATAGGATGCATTCTGCTTATTTTGGGCATCTTATCTGAAAAGGGCTGATTCTAAACTTAGACATTTAGCAACATGGCTGATTCAGCAGACCGAAGCATAACTGTCAGCATACAGCTAATGAGGATGAAACTTGCTGAATCAATTGAGTTCTCCTAGATGTGAGCCACATTGCTTTACTTTTTCTTTTTGAAAATGTGTACACTTCAGGTCAAAAGTTTGAGGTCAAATATTTTTTTGGGGGGGGGGGGGGGGGTGTGTGTAAATTACTACTTGAGAAAAGATGTAATACATTGATCAAAAATGACAGTAAACACATTTATAGTGTTACCTTTTCTTTTTCTTTTTTACTTTTCATTCATCAAAGAATCCTGAAAATATGTATCATGGTTTCCACAAAAATATTAAGCAGCACAACTGTTTTCAACATTTTGTTTCAGTTAAATTCAGTTTCTTGAGCAGCAAATCATCATATTAGAATGATTTCTGAAGGATATTGTGACACTGGAGTAATGCTGAAAGCTCTTTGGTACAGCTTTGACATCACAGAAATAAATTATATTTTAAAATACTTAAATAGAAAACAGTTTTTTAAATTGTTAAAAAATTTCACAATATTACTGTTTTACTGTATTTTTGATCAAATAAATGCAGCCTGGTGAGCACAAGAGACTTCGTACCAACCCCAAACCTTTGAACGGTAGTGTATATGGGATTGTTTATTCTTAATGGTTGAATTCTCTGTGTGTGTTTATGTAGATGGTTGGTATTGGCACGTCAGATATGAATCTAGACAAATACAGACACACATTCTGCAGCCTGCTGGGAAAAGATGAAGACAGCTGGGGTCTGTCATATACAGGTAAAACAGTTTCAGTTCACAAACACATACTTGTCCTCAAAACACCTAGACTTTACATGAAAGCATAGTGCTTAAGGATTCTTCTGTAATGTAATGTATGTATGTGTTTTTGTCAGGTCTGTTACATCACAACGGTGATAAAGTGAGCTTTTCGTCACGATTCGGACAGGGATCCATTATTGGTGTTCACTTGGACACTTGGCACGGCACCCTCACCTTCTTCAAAAACCGCAAGTGCATCGGTAAGAGCTAATCTTACACATGACAACTGCTTTCAGCTGCGGTCTTATCTTATCTTGTTTTTGAAATATAATACACATTTTAACTGTCACTTTCTCTCTAGGAGAGATACTATATGTGCAGTGAAGTTCTTGAAAAATAAATATTTTTAAGACTGTCAACATAAAATGTAAAAGTTGCTTTAGCAACCAGACACACATATTTTTGACACCATTACATTTTTTTTTTTAGTTAACCTTTACATTTTACAGTTTAGTTAACTGTAAGAAACAATAATACAATATTTTTTATAATATTATTTTTGTATTTGTCTTATTATTGGGTAGTTTATATATATATATATATATATATATATATATATATATATGTATGTATGTACATACAGTATATATACAATATACATATATATATATATATATATATATATATATGTGTGTGTGTGTGTGTGTGTGTGTGTGTGTGTGTGTGTGTATATATATTTAGTTTTCTCTCCTTAACTGTCACCTGCCCGTATACGGGCAACCTAAATTTACTTCACTATATTACTATTAAATCCTAATCTAGTCATGACAAACTATATATCGTTGGAAAGGTCTAAGACTCCTTAATAGATATTTTAGCGCTGTTTTTTTCTTACAAATTATGTATGAACAGTAATATATTAATTTATGACAAGAGTGCGCCTCAAAAAATCAACTTCATTACAGGAGTTTCTGACCTTTGTCACAAAAAGTTGACGCACACACTTTTAATAATTGAAACTTTGGTTTTTAATGCTAAAAGTTCATAATAAAACATAATATAGTATTTGTCAATAAAAAAAAGATAAAATTATATTTTAAAAAGTAAAGTAAAAAGTCCTTTAAAAAGTATAATATATATTATATAATATATATATATATATATATATATATATATATATATATATATATATATATATATAATTTTTTATTATTATTATATCACATATTTTAGTAGTTATCATAAATTAGGTATCATTTGAAAGCTTACGAACTCAGAATCAATCCTGTGAAAACCGTTTTGAAATTGGACGTTGCGTTACCATAGAAACGGTATTTTTTATTAGGCCCCTCCCCTTTTGGGCATCATCTTTCATAATTTATTATCAAAAATGTTCTAATCTTGACAAAACACATATTGTCAGAAAGGTCTGAGTCTCAAGGTTCCATATTTAGTGACAGAAGTAATATTTGGATAGAAATTTATTAATTTGTTATGGCAGAATGCATACAATTAAATTCAATGGAATGCAATGGCACCCGGTGGGTATTTTTGGTATTACGCCCAAACAAAATCTCATGGGAACTTCAATGTTTGTGATATCAACTTCAAATTTGGAACACAACTTGGTTAGATATATGGCTTTGACTTTCTGTCATTTTTAGGCTGAAACCTATATTAATTTATATATATTTTTAATAAAAGAAAAATATATATTTTATTATATTTTCATAACAATAAACTTAAACTTCAATAACTTTTAAATAATTTAATTCTATTAATGTATTCCACTTCAGCAATAATCTGCCAAGAGTCTTCTTTTAAAAGAGACCAACCGTAAGTCTTTAGTACACAGGCTTCATGAATTACAACCGTTTAAGTTTGGGTAGAGCATTTTCACGTCAACGCTCAAAAAGGGGGGTGACAGTTAAAGGGTTAAATGAGGTTAAATGTTAATTATAATTATTTATTTATAGTAGTTAGTATAGTAATTATTTTTAGTAGTTAGTAACTATAATAACTAGTTGTTCAGACAATCTACTGACTAGTCTTGTGTGAAAATCTGTAATTGCACATCCCTGGGTTTTGGAGATCAGACACTATTTAACAATCACACACCTGGAGAGCAGCTTTATCTCTGTTAAACCACACATTTAATACCATTTAACCTGTATGTTGTGTGTGTGGCAGGTGTAGCAGCTACAGAGATGAAGAATAAACATGTTTTTCCGATGGCGTGTTCCACCGCGGCCAAAAGCAGCATGAAGGTGATTCGCTCCGTCTCCGCTGCCACCTCTCTACAGTACCTTTGTTGCTCACGACTCCGCAAACTTCTCCCGTCCGGAGTCGATGCCCTTCGAGTCCTGCCCCTGCCGCCTGGCCTCAGACATCTTCTTCACTCCAAACTGGGATGGGTGCTGAGCCTGGATCATACGCACACCCACTCGAACACACACACCCCGCCAGGACCCTCCTCGGGCAGTGACTCTGAGGGCTGCTCCTCAGACCCGGAGGCCTGCCAGCGGAAACGTTGCCGCTGGACCTGAGACTGCGTGTGCCGCGTGCACATCCACTCAGCTTGTCATTATGCACACATTAGAAAATGTCTCTACAGATAAAGAAGAATCGACATATATAAACACTGGACTTGTGCTGCCAATCACAATGGTGGATAACAGAGCTTGCTGAATAACTTTGAAAAGAATTCAAGGTCAGTCAAGTCTGTTTTACTAGTTTGTCGCTAAATATTCAACTATCATTCAAGGCTCTAAAGGTAGCTCCCAATCAGGTGACATTTGGATATATATATTACAGTTTTTATTCTGTTGTGAACTCCCAGTGGAAAGAAGTCCATTAGCTCTTCAGACAAAAAGCAAGATATGAACCTCATAAACCTGTTCTGATGTGGGGAACAATAACATGCAACCATATGAAACACAGGCAAACAATCAAACTGTTTGCATGCACAAGGGACACAAACAATACATGACACCTTGAGTGAACTGTAAATTTCTTCATTACTGGCGTCCCTTGGAGGTAGAAAACGTTACCTGATCTCCTCTAAAGTAATGCATATTCAAATGTCATGCTCCATTACAGGCCAGTCAAACATCTCAGCACTTCAGAGTGCCAAGGTCTTTTTTCTCTTTATGTTTAAACAACCATTGTATGTTTTTTACTCTATTCTTATTTTATCAAACTTGGACTTACCAACAGACAGTAAGTAACAACAGTGACGTCATTATGAATATTGTCAGCATAAATGTGTTTTAAATACCATTACATTGAAATGGTGAGGAAAATGCCTGTGTATTTTGACAGTTTTTGTCTCTAGGAATTACTTTGGGCCCTAGTTATTATTACTCAAAGTGTGTGTGTGTGTGTGTGTGTATGTGTATCTGAACAGTATTTCCAGAGAAACTCTGTTTTCCTGAAAATACCTTGATGCAGTTGTCAAACTGATTGATGCTAACTGACGTGGAGGTCGATTCAGTTTTCAATCTGTGCAACATCTCTACATGAGGTTCATATTGAATTCATATGGTGTTTATATTGCAGGTTTTATAATCCATTGTTTAAAAAAAAAAGCTAATCATGTTTTTGTTATGCATAAAGCACTTTTTGCTCTTAATGTATGTATAGAAATATATACAGGTCCCTATACTGTGTTCTGCACGTATTGTATGTCATAAGCGCTCTCTCTTTCTCTCTCATTCACTCTCTCTTTATTCACTTCTCTCTTCCTTCTCTCGCTTCTTCTGCAACATACATTAAGCATGGCCTTTTATATGAGTCAAGAAAAAAATAAGGAAAATGATATATGCATTAAAATAGGGGCTGAATATGTTTTTGTTTGTTTGTTCTTTTTGAGATCTTAATAAAGGTTTCTAAAAATCAATCATATTGTTGCTATTATTACAAAAAAATTAAACAACTCATACTTTTGGATGATGCATTTCTAATTAATTTTGTACAGTATTTTTCTGACAAAATGTTGCATTGAAAGTACTGCAAAAGAGATTATTTATGTAGGCCTGTTTATGTTACTGAACAGATTTATGACCACTTAAATTGAGAAACATTTGAGATATACCCTCTCAAATATTGCTTAAAAATAAAGCAATAGTGGTGACCGCCCTAAGCGGAACAGAAACACGCACGCGCGTTTCGCACGGACCGATTTCCGTGACGGACAGCAGTAACCGTGACGTAATTGTGTGGAGGTCAAGTCAAACAGATAGGTAAGATAACTGTCATTGGCTGGAAAAGGGATTAAAATGTGCGCGTATTTGTATTTATTAAAGTCACTTTTCTTCTTATGGCTTTGGCTGTAGTGCTTTGCGTTCACCCCTTTGTCTAGTATCTTATGATGTGCTGTAACACGTGCAGCATGTGTGCCCAAGACTATTTAGCTGGTTGTTTAACTAGTCCGTGGAAAGTATTTGCTGTTCAGATGTTTCTGTTTGATATCTTTTTCGTTTTACATTAGCATACGTCTTAAATAATGAGGAAAAATTGGCAAAATTGATAACGGTTCCTGTCTCATATGGATTTTCAGTAGATGGATCTATTTATTCCTTTTAAATATGCCTTCAAACCTATGTATTAATTTAAAGAGAAAAACGAATTATTATTGATCATTTGAAATACAGTCTTACGAGTCTTAATTGACTCGATTTTTCATATAATACTTAATATAATATAACTTTCATACATAATAATAGACTTAGCAATATTTAATACTTTTTCTTTGTGAGTTCCCTGGTTTCAATATACAGTAAAGTCCAAAAGTCTATATTAATGGTTTAAATTCTTCTATTTTGTATTATACATGTTTCTCATGTTTCATTTCAGGTTATATTATCAGCATATCAATTTGAGTGAATAACTGAACATTCCATGAATTTCAGGATATCTCAGTATTTGATATACCCTGATATTTGCATTAATGACTGCAGCACTCAAGCTGCATGAACTCCATAAGTTTGTGTGAAAAAAACCTGATGTAATATTTATGTCCATATTTTAGTGCTTATTTTTTGTAATCTTTTTTAATTGATCATCCAGGCAACATGGTAAAGAAAAAGCGTCTGAGGCTTATAGCCGAGATGGCACGGAAGATCCGGGCCTACCGGGAGCTGAAGAATCGGCCCCAGGACTCTCAGCGTTATGCCTTAGACTACGCCACCATGACACGGCCCTTCACTGGCAAAAAGCTGCCAGTGTTGGCTTGGAAAGATGTGCAGACAGAAACCCGGCTCTTTACGTTACTAGCTGGCATGCGCGTGTTTGGTGTGGGTCGGCTCTTCACACGCAAATCATGGCTGGACGAGCATACAGAGCCATGCTACTGGAAAATAACAAAAGTCAAGGTGGATTATACAGCAGAGGTACGTTCTGTGATTATTTTAATTGTACAAATGTTTATGTATGAGGTCAGTGCATGTGTGAATTCAAATTCTGATGTTTTCTCATTTAGAACATGGATCATGGGAAAGCATGGGGCATTTTAACATTTAGAGGTAAGAAAAGACCTTTTCTCTGTACAACTATAAATAAAGGCAATTCTTTTAAATAAAAGTTAGTTCAATGTGTTGTTCTGCCATATGACTTCTACTCTAGCTAATGTACTAATTGGATATTTGTGGTGTTGCTAATATATTTATGATCAATTGTTTTGAAAGTCACTTTGTATGCTTAATGTAAATGTAAGACTAATAACTACGGTAGTTGTTTTTATACTGGTCGCTTGTGGAGTAAATGTGATATAAGGGAAAATGTATATAAGTTGAAATTTAGCTTAGTTAATGATCAGCACCTAATATTTTACAGTTGTGTATTTGGAGCCGATTAAGACAGTTTTGAGAAAGATTTATCACAGTTTCCACAAAAATATTAAGCAGCACAACTGTTTTCAACATTAATAATAATAATAATAATAAATGTTTATTGAGCAGCAAATCATCATATCAGAATGATTTCTGAAGGATCATGTGACACTGAAGACTGGAGTAATGATGCTGAAAATTCAGCTTTGTATCACAGGAGTAAATTACATTTTAAAATATATTAAAATAGATAACATCATAATATTTTGTACTATATAAATGTAGCCTTGGTGAGCAGAAGAGACTTCTTTAAAAAAATTCATACTGACTGCAAACTTTTGAGCAGTAGTCAATAAGTGACAGCATTAGAGTTCAGTAGAATTATACAGAGTAAATAAATGTAGCAAGCAAACAATTAACAAATGTAGCAAATAAATACAGCAGCCTTGCTGTGGCATTGTTTGGATGTGTTTCAGGTAAAGAGGAGCCCACAGAGCGCGAATTGGATAAGGTGATGTATCATGACTGGCGACTGGTTCCCAAACATGAAGAAGAGGTTTTCAAGAGCTGTGAACCCGTTCCTGAGGCCCCTGTCCGTTATGTGAAATACCCTCCTCTGCTGCGTGCCATGATCCTGGCCCAGCAAGCCAAAGAGCTGGGTGTGGATGCCAGCACTATCCCAGAGCCCTCTCTACCACTGAAACGGGATATCATGCTCAGTTATGACTACTTCAGGAGTCAGGATGAGAAGAAACAGGAGGGTACACCTGTCTGATGCTCAGGTCCACTTAAAGGTCATGAGTTCTGTTGCAGTGGTCTTGTTCCTAATTTTATGGGCACTGCATGCAGTAAAGGCTGCTTTGTGTTTAATGCTATGCTTTATGAGAACAAAATATAGCCACGTTTTTTATCCATCTTTCTTGGATTATGTGGCTAATACTGAGAGGGGAAAAAAGGAGATTTCTTTAGTACATTTGGACAGGTGACCAAACCCAAAAGTATAATCCTCTGTGGAAAGACTTTGTTTTTATTATCTGTGTTAATATACGTGTAATATTCTTTACAATATGTGAGCTAAATATGATTAATTTGTGTGGATTATAACAGATGTAGAATAAAAATGAGTAAAGTTAATTTGGTCTCATTTTGTAGTAGACCATGAAGCATTCTTCAGACCTCTTTAAAGGTATATTTTCAATCAAATTTGTGTAAACTTCTGTGTGAAATTCACAAAATTGGTTTTTAAAAAAACATTTCCAGATCATACCCCCCCCCCCCCCCCCCCCCCCAAAATTGTTTTACAAAATGAATTCGTACACAATTGCCTCGCAGTCATTAAAATCGAATGAAATTAACAGCAGAATAATTGAGCAAAAACTGTTTGTTTTTTACCTTTACCATGTAGACTCAGCCAACCAAGGAATCCCTATAACATTATTTTTTTATTATGCTTTGATTATCAATGTACACGCATTTAGAAATACGTATATAAGGACCGGTGGATCATAGATCAAATCGATCCACCACAGCAAACAGCATGTATTTTCTATTTGTGCTGTTTTATGCATTTGAGACATGGTGTTTTCCTCAGTGCATAACTTACATTTAACAGGTGTATTCTCCTCTGTAAAAGTTAGAAAGTTGTGCAAATATCTTCATTTTGCTACTAAACTTCACATTGAACGAACGCTTCTGCACGCCAAATAGGAGCGCAATAATTCTGACTAAAATATACATTTTGCTTAGGAAATTAATATGCAATATTTTATAACACCAGAAATGTCTTCGAACTATAATTTATCTTTAGTATGTTGGATAAGTTGCGGTGAACTTATAGCTCATTACACTCATATATTTTATAGGGTCGACTATAGCCCTACTTGTAAAATAATAATAAAAAAATTGAACAGAAGTAATTCAGGGAAGACATTTTTTAGAAACCAAATATAATAAAGATACAAAATATAGTTTTGGGTATACGACCCAA